GGCGGCCGGGGTCTCCGGCCCGGCCCCTCGAGGTGTCGCGGTGCCCGGGCAGTGGGGCGGCCCTGCAGCTCCCAGGGCCTGGTGCCTTCCCGGGGCCATTCGTTCCACACGAATCCAGTGGTGCACAGGGGTATTTGTATGAAACTTAAGTCATGCTGAACAGCTGTAGCGTCTGTCAGGAGAGGAGTTGTTTTCTGGGGGTCTGCTGCGCTTGAGGAACGATGTAGTGGGGCGAGGGGCTTGTTCCCGAAGGTGTGTTTTTCTTGAGAGCTAAATCTCCAGGTGTGCTGTCATGTTGTGACCTCTGGTAATAAATCTGTGTTAAATCCTGGTCTCCTTTGCTTGTTCCACATAAAACGTATGGCTTTCCAATACGTGATGCGGAGCAAACGTTCAGCTGAGAGTCAGAAGAGCCTGGTTTCTGCTTCTTCCTTGTCAGTAGGCCAGTTTAGTAAATATTTCTTTCTTCAGTATCTCAAGTATAAAATGCTGCTAAGAATAACTGCAGATACTCCTTTGTCTTGGTAGGTTATGCAAGATGAGTGAGCAGACCTGGTAGCTGTTTTGCAGATGAACAGTGCTAAGAATTCTTTTATTCCTACAGTTGCTCTGCAGACCGTGAATCTGCATGTATCTGAGATTCTTGACAGCTGGCTCTAGCTTTGGTACAAAACCACAACGTTGTTTTAAGAAAAAACCAAACCAAAACCAAAAAAACCCTGAGAAATGTCTTATTGTAGAAGGCAGAGACACTGGGTTTGGCAGCAATTTAAGCAACTGAAAGTAGGTTGCAGTTACCGTGGAATTGTTCTGACATGTTGGTGTACTGTTCTTCCACAGTGGTGCTTGAGAAAGACAGGCTGAAGAACTTGTTTTAAGGCAACTTCTCTTCCCATCAAACACAGTACATTTTGACAAGCACAGTTAAGCTTTCTGGCAGTGCTTTATTAAATTCCTAGTTTCCTGAGCAGCATTAGAGCGCTGTGTGCGCCAGCTAAAGCTTTTAGGGCAGAGTTAGGAAGGCAGGGATTGCGTACTTCCTTCTGAACAGTTAGGACTCAAACCTTTCTGATGCATTCAGTCAGGGGTGAGAGGTTTTCCCTGTTTTGTTCAAAAAGGAAAGCCCTAGGTGGGAAGATCAGCATCCCCATACTGGAAAGTTTAAAGGCATGGTTTTAATTTTGGGGCGTGGGGAAGTGGGTGTCCCACAGAATGTGCTAAACCCATCCACATCCACAAGACTGTACTTAACATAGTGTGCTCCAAAAATGGTTCCCAGTTAGCTGAAGCTGGTGAAGATTAAAAGGTCTGGAGTTAATTTTAAAATGATATTTTGTTTATTAGGTTTTCTGGGAAAAGGATAAGAAATCAAAGAAGGTGAACTAGCAAATGTGGCATTGATACTTGGTTGTTTTTTTTTTTAATTGGACCAGCTGATGCATTTGGGAAAAGGGGTTGGTTTTGATGAAGGGACTCAGAGCCTGAAAGTGGCCCAGTTTTAAGTGTTAGTCAAAGATACTGCGGTCTTGTTGCTTGTCTTTTAAATCAGCATATGCTACATGATACTATTTTGCTTCTTTGTGAAGTTGCATGAAATGGCTCAGTTGTTAAGCATCTCTTCACAGGTTACTGAGATCCTGGTTACAACCACTGTTGTGTTTTCTAGCATGCAAATATGATTCCTTCCCCCTGCAGTTTTGCTTTGCTCCTCCAGTTCAGTTTATTCAGTTCCAAAGAGTGCTGGACAAACATTGTTATAAAATTATCCTTGAGGCTTGTCTTCTGCCAAGACAAGGTGCTAGGCAAGCTTTTCAGTTCCCAAGATAAGTGTTGCTGATACAGCTTACTCGTTTATCCTTTTTTTTTTTTTCTTTTCTCCCCACTGTCAGTAATTCAGATCAGATAATTCAGATCAGGGAATTCTTTCAAATGTCCTCAAAATGTGAAAACAACAGAGTGTAGCAACCATGCTGCTAGAGTTGTTAACTTCAAGTTCATCAGATTTTTCCACTTCTTTTTTGCAAGGATGTGGGCTTTTCCTATCTGTTTTGTTTCCAGCCAATAGTATATCTTGGATTCTGGTCTGTGTTAATATCACTTGTCTTCTTTTCTTAACAGCCACAAGTGAGGTTACTTAAACAATGCTTAAGAAACACAAACTCTTCTTTTTTTTTCTTTTTATAGTTGCATGTTACCAAGACATGTTTAAGGTCCTGTATGTACATAAAGCATTTATTTTGCTTATAGGCATGCAGCTATGAAGTCCTCTGTACCTGCGTGCTCGGATGTACGAGCTGGGTGGAACAGTGTGTTGTTACATTTTGTACAGTCTTTGAGAGTTATGTGGCTCATATTGTTAATAGAAATGCTAAATTTCTGAGACTGAAGACTAGTTATCTGTGGTACAGATCATTTAAGTCTTAATTCCCTTGTGCCCAGCTTCATTTACAACAGTAATCATATTTTTAATGTTTGATAAAGTAGTATAATAACTAAATGTTAGATTCGGATCAGCACAGTATGGGTAGCATGAAGCCCCTAGACACTATAGGCTAAATACTTGTGTCTTGGGCTGCAGCGCCCTTTCACATTTAATCTTAAGTTTCATGCAAACTAGCTAATTAGATTTGTATCTTTTCATGCTGCATGTTTGTGTTTGGCAAGAGGAAGTCACAGATCACCACGTTTGTTTTCCCACCCTACCTGCTGCGCTAGCACAGAACACCCAGTTTCTAGGGGGGAAAGCGTAGCTTATCAATCTGGTCAGGTTCATGGAGTACAGAGTGTTTGTAGTATAGAAGACCAGTTAAGTTATGTATGTAAAGGATGGATGAGTTAATGGGAGTTTTTATTTATTGCTGCAGGACTCTGTATCATTCAGAGATGCTATCTGATCCAGACAATCCGGGAGTTTAAGATTTAAGAAGAGGGTGGTCAGTGGGTCACTGTACCCCGGTTTCCATTTTGAGGCTACAGCAAATCCATCCCCATGCCTGAGACCGAGTTGGCAGCTGTGCTGCTGAAGCTATGCCTGTGTACTGAGCACCTCCCTACACTTCTGAACACACATTCCTCATTGTACGGATTATTAGCTTTATTCCTGTGTTTCTTTGTCCTCCCCACTGCCTTGCTCACTTACCTACGATGCCACAACACAGCCAGTCAACAATGGGTCAGAACTGTGCTAGCTAATATGACTGACTCCAGATTTAGATTTGCTTCGATCTCTGAACCTTAAAGATGGATATCGGAATCTCTAGTGTACAAAACGTGCTAATTTATCTTCTTACAATCTGTGAGAGCAAATCTGACATGTAACTGAAAGGAACTATCCTTTCTTGTCCTAGGAAAACACCCCCCCACAGGTGAGCATTGGTGAAAATGGGGGATACAAGAGACATCTGTCCTCACCTGGATTCCATAGGAGAGGTGACCAGGGATGATCTGCTGCTCAAATCCAAGGTACAGGGTGTTCTGGTTGTCAGTCCTTTCCCTTTTAGCTGTCGTGCATGGGTTTGCATGTTTGCTTTTCGAAGAAAATGCTGCCCATCTCCATAGAGGGGAGACAGAAACTCTTCTTCCAACGCTGATGTACCTTGCATATGTCCCATAAAGTAAGCCTTTGTCGACCCCATCTGATCTATTTCTGTCATTTTATCCTGCTCAAATGTGTCACTTAGCTAAAACGTTGCAAAGCATGTATTTAATTGGAAATGTGATACTAAGAAATGAAATACTGTGAGCTGTAGGTTGGTGAGGCCTGTCATATAGAGAAGTTTCCCACTCTTGAAGGACTAGGTTACTTAAAAACCAAACAAGCAAACAAACCTTCTTTTATCATAAATATGCAGGGAACTTGCCAGTCTTGTGGAGCTGTGGGACCAAATCTCTGGGCTTGTCTTCAGGTAAAAATGGCTTGCTATTTGTGTGCATGATATGGTGGGACTTCTTTTTAGTATTTTTTTTTTTTTTAAAGAAAGTATTGTACTGGAAAAAAAAAAGAGTGGGAAGTAGAGAGGGGGTTCCCAGCAGAACTATCCATCGTTTTTTGATGGATTCCAAGGAAAAGACTCCCTAGATTAAAGGCTAACGCTGTCAGAATATGCCAAGATGTAACAGTTCACTGCTCATAGGTGCTTGCCCCCTGGTAGTCCCAACAGGAATGAATAAAATGCCCAGCATTGACTGTTGGCTGGGTCCTGCCTCTGTGGGCAACTGTGAAGGGAGGCTGCAAGTGTGAGACCTCAGAAGACGTTGCTTAGGGCAGCGAGGTGGAAAGGAATGACGAGGGGCATATGGGCGGGCAGGGGCAGTTTATTTTTACCCTGGAATGCCCAGACATTTTGAGACTGCTCAAATGAGCTGCCCATTGGAGCAATTGCCTTGGCATGGAGCCTTTACATGGGTGCAAACCTGGTTTCAGGTTTTCATTCTTAAATCAAACAATTCCAATTTTCCATCTCACTCTGGGCGCTAAATAAAAAGCAAGTTAGAAAACTGGCAAGATCAATTCTGAAGTTGCAGCTGCTGGTGGGACTGGAGTTGCAGATTACTCCGTGAAGGCCCTAGTTTAATGTGCCCACTGTACTTTTGCTCTTTTTTCTCACTAGATTGGTTGTCCTTATGTTGGTTGTGGAGAGTCCTTTGCTGACCACAGCACACTTCATGCACAGGTGAGCCCTTCTCCGTTGTCCATCTTAAGACAGAGTTGGATTTTTCCCATTACCTAATCCTCTTCTACCCTGTTCTGGTAGTCCAGTGTTTCAACATGAGCCAGCTGTCAAATCAGATTAATTATTTCACCTTTTAATTTTTAGGCCAAAAAGCACAACCTGACGGTGAATCTGACCACTTTCCGTGTCTGGTGTTACGCTTGTGAAAAGGAGGTGTTCTTGGACCAGCGGCTGGCAACACACACGCAGTCACCGCCGGTGAAGTTCACTGAACCGGTGGGTCTGTGTCACAACTTGGCAGGGTTGAACACTCAGCAGGATTTTTGTTTACCTGTTGCAAAATTAGCCAAGCGATTTCTGCTATTGTCCAGGCTTTTGTTGTGATAGGAATTCCTTCACTGAAAGTGGCTACCTGCAGCTAGAGGACCAATAGCCTTGCCTTCTAGGATGTCCCAGCAAGAAGGCTTCCAGATGACTTCAATATCCATTCAGACTTTATTTTTAACCTTTCCTAGCCTCTTCCATGGGGTGTCTGTTTCTGGGAGGAACCACAACAGCTGCCACATCTTAATTTTCAATGCATGGTCCAGAAAATTGTGACACTGCTGCATATTCCTGATGCCTCTTTTATCATGTGTACCGGAAGCAGTAGTGGTACTATTTCCACTCCCTCCTTGCATTAGTGAGAAGGGTAGACAGCGCAACTGGTTCTTCTCTCTTTTTTTGTGCTTTTTTTAAAGGCTGCCTCAATTTATGTGTAAGATAATATATCTCACAACTCATCTTTTAAAACAGGCCTCTCACTGATGCTTATTTCTCTGTCTTTAATCTAGGATTCTCCATTGCCTGCTCACCCTTTGAAAGCTGTTCCAATTGCAGTGGCTGATGAAGGCGAATCTGAATCAGAGGATGATGATTTGAAACCAAGAGGTAACTCTGCATCGAGTTGATGAAAGGGCTGTGAGGGTAACTCTGCAATCTGTAGGACCTGCACTGAGAGGTTCCTAGGAGCAGAGTGTGGAGACTGCCTAGGAAGGGCTGAATTTCCTCTCCTTTGGGGAGGGATGTAGAAAGCAGCATGTCTGGAAAGTGTTTCATGCCTCTCTTGTTTGTGCTTTAGGCCTTACTGGAATGAAAAATCTTGGGAACTCCTGCTACATGAATGCAGCACTTCAGGCTCTCTCTAACTGGTAGGCATTAGGGCCTTTCAGTAGAGTCTTTACTAGACTTCACTAAATATCAAAAGTGGCATCTGCTGATCTGAGATCTTCATGGGTCTTGCAAAGAGAAATCAGCCAGCCTAGGTGCAGAAAAATTTAGTGTTTGGTTAGGGCAGTAGAAGTTTTACAGTAGGAAACTGAGTGAAGAGCCAACTGTGGCTACATACAAGACTCATCATGTTTAGATGAGTGCTTGAAGTAAAACTTCATCATTTCTGTTGTGACAGAAATGTATTTATCACATGGGAAGGCATGTCACATGTTTTTATTCTCCCCAGTGATACCTTTCTAACAACCCATATCCTAAAATATTTTCTAGCCATCCTGCTGAGAACTAATTCCAGGATCTCTTCTCTATACTGGGAACAGATTCAGACCAGCCTTTTTCATTTGTTTCAATTTAGGAGACGAGTCTGCATCTGGAATCCCTTCTTCCCTTGACTTAAAAAACAGTATCTTAAGCATGCTTTTGAAAAGGCATGCATTTAAGTTTTGATAAACCCTTAAATAGAAGCAGAGGAGTGATTTCTGTGCACTGAATTTTTCTCTTTTTTTTTTCCTTGCAGTCCACCTCTCACACAGTTTTTTCTGGAATGTGGTGGACTGGTCCGTACAGATAAGAAACCAGCACTGTGCAAAAGTTACCAGAAGTTGGTGTCTGAGGTTTGGCATAAGAAACGGTGAGTGGTCACTCCCTAATCTGGACAGGTTTCATAGTTATGTTAGTTCTAAGTAAGAACTGTAAGTTCTGTAAGAACTGGCAGTAAGAACTGGCAGTAAGTCTGGCATCAGCAAAGAGGAAGTTTGATTTTCAGGGATAAGTGCACTGTCTAAGGCAGTCAGTTCAAACCCTGCGTAGGTGGGTATGTGAAGATTCCCCCATATCTAGGAGATCCCATATCCTGCTACGGGAGATAAAATGGATCTATTTATGACAGTGAAAAGAATACATTCTTAATGTTGTAACTTTAAAAAGGAAGAGAATTTTTATATAGCTTCCCTGTTGACAATGAGGAAAAAATGATGGAGTAAGGGAATATTCATAGCCATTTCTGACTATTTTGCATGGACTGACCAGCACTTAATTGCACTGCTCTTGATTAGCAGAGAGATTGATGATTTGGATGGAAAAAGCGATACAGAGATTTTTACCAAAGAGAGTGGAAAATGCAGGTGATGTTTTGGGAAATATTTGCTATTGGTTCAAATTCTAGACTAATTTAGTTTAGTTTAGTCTAGGAAAGTGTAAGATAACACAGCTCTGTTTAAATCTGAAGATGTCTGCTCTGTGCAATCAATTGAAAAAAATCAAACTAGGATTTTTAGTGGCATTGTATGTTTGCTTCGTGTTAGTTGTTAACAAGGGATAAGTAAGATATAGAGCAAAAGTGAACTGTATCTTTCTGGAAGAGAAGACTGTAGACTTTGAAGCAGCATAATATCATTTTAATACTGGTTTTGATTTACCTCATTTACTGGGTGGTCAGCCCACCCAGATTTTGAGGCAGACCTGGTGCTGCAAAATCAAACCAAGTAACTAATTGCAAAACTCTGCTCTTGAAAGAATCACTTGAGAAAGGTGAAAGTGAGGACAGAGCTTTCAGTTAAATATGTTCTAGTGAAGAATCTCTCTGGAAGGATAGACTGAAATGACTGTGAGATGTTTTCTGTCTCTTAATTTTTATGTCATCCAGCTAGTAGAGAAATATATGCCCAGGCTTTGCAGGTGCATAATTGTCTTTTGTTGTCTTTAACTAGTTACCACACCCTGTTCTATGGCTTATTAAACAAACTGGCTCCAGGCCTGATAAGCAAACTAACTTTTTTTTTTTTTTTCCTCCCCCATATCTAAACAGCCCAAGTTATGTTGTTCCGAGCAGTCTATCCCATGGAATTAAACTCGTCAACCCCATGTTCCGAGGCTATGCGCAGCAGGTGGGGCCTCAACAAAAACATGCCATTGTTCCAAAGATGGTGGGATTTTTATTCCTCCAGCGGTGGTGCTTGTGTTCAGAAGGAAAAACTTGTGCTCAGGGGTCATGCCCATTTTGTGTCAGTATTAGCGATCTCATAGAGCACTTGGGTGGGATTGAGGAGACCTGGGTTCTCTTCCAGGCTCTGCCTCTGGCTTGCTGGTACCAAATCAATGCATGTTCCTGTGTCAGCTTTCTGACCTCTGAAATTATGATTGTTACCTCCTTTATAAAGGGCTTTGAGAACTATTAATATGTGCTATATGAGAGTTAGGTATTATTTATTCCCATCAGAGCTGGGAAACCTGGATAAGCCTGTACTAAAAAGTTAAAGATATGAATATACTTAGTTTTTTTTCTGGGGGATTACAGCACACTAAATCTTATTTCAAGATAGTATCCTTTTTTTCTTTGAAGTTTTTATCTGTGTGTCTCTTGTGTTTATTCTTTAGCATAAATTGTAAACATCAAACTGTGTAATTAGAAAATTTACAAAAGAAGTGACAGTACATCTAAACTGTGATACTGACAGGAAGTCAAAACAGAGAATAAAAATAATGATTAATGAAAGAACTTCTGTATTTATCTTTGATGTGAAGTACGTCGGATTGGAAAACTCTCAGCTGTAAAGAGATAAAGTTGAAAGGAAGACAGGGCAGGCTAAAAGCCAAACTTCCATAAAATAACAGAAACATCATAATTAAATTTCTGGAGTTGTCAAAATACCAAGTCGCTTTCCCACAGGTCCTTTGAAGCCAATGTATCAGCTCTTTTACCATGTATTATAAATGTAGGAGTTTGCACCGTGATTGTAAAGTCTTTGGTTTCTGGTTCCATTCCCTATTTATTAAAGATTTTAATCTGTCCTATTTAAGAGAGGGATTGCCATGAGCAGAAGTCAGTGTTCATGAAATTTGTTTTGTGGGCAAGACTCTATTCTCTACGGCCTGCTGTCTTCATTAAGTTTCTCCTTGTCTCTCACCTCTTATCAGTTGTAAAACCCTGATAAATAAGCTCATAGTTTGCATACTGCATCTGCTCTTTGGCTTTTCGCTGTTTTTCAGCTGAAGATGTTCAGATAAAAATTGTGCCTTTTATCATTTAGGAGTTAAAAACATTTATATAAGCAGACAGTTGTCTTGGTACATCTTCACAGTACTCGCTTTGCTTTAGTAGAGTCTCCTTGTGTTGCAGGGGTGGCTGACCTTCTGTGAATGGAGCCATCTCCTCTTTTGCCCCTCTCATTTGCCGCATTTCTGGATGGATACTAACATGGAATTACTCCTGGTTTTCAGGACACTCAGGAGTTCCTGCGGTGCCTGATGGATCAGCTTCACGAAGAACTGAAGGAACCCATTGTTGCAGAGACAAGGGATTTGGATACCAGTGACCAAGACGACAAGCGAGAGGGAGACCGAAGTCCTTCAGAGGATGAGTTCCTCTCCTGTGACTCAAGCAGTGACAGGGGTGAAGGAGATGGTCAAAGCCGGACCACAGGAGGCATGGGCAGCAGCTCCCTGGCAGAGACAGAGTTGTTGATCCAGGATGAAGCAGGAAGGGGGATCTCTGAGAAAGAGAGGATGAAGGACAGGAAGTTCTCCTGTGGCCATCGACGCAGCAACTCGGAGCAGGTGGATGAGGATGCAGATGTTGATACTACTATGATGCCAGTTGATGGTAGAGCCTCACCTGAGATGCTGCCAGCTCCCCGTCCTGCCAGCCCGTGTAGGACACCAGGTATACACCTCTTCCAGTCGTGTTATTTGTGAGAAGACATGCTGTGACCCTACACAGGGAGAGTGTTGTAGTGCAGTGGCAAACACCACATAATGTGACTGTTCCTTCTATGGGTTCCAAGAGATTTCGCATCCAAGATTTTTCTTCAGTGTCCCTGTCAGTAGTTCTGCCTTGGTGCACAGTTAATGTAATACATGAGCCAGAGAGGTGCGTAGCTGGGCTAAAGTGCTATGGAACTGAGTAAAGACTACGTCCTGAAGGCAGTGACAACTGCCTCTGCCAAACCCGCGAACGCTGCATTTATGCCTTTTCCTAATTTAAGAGAAAGGTTTTGTATGTGTACATTGCTTTATCTGATAGACTGGTCTGGGGAAATATTAGCTGTCGAAAAGGCGTGGAAGAAGGTAATTGTTAATGTTGGACTGTGGTCTTTGTGGAGAGGAAAGGGAGATGCACAGTTTGTGCATTTCTGTGTCTTAGGGAAAAGAGCAGCAGTTAAGACGTAGGTGTGGAGTCACCTCAAACTGAACATATCCGATCTTTCAACACTTCTTTATGTAAGAGTCTTACTCTGCCAACTGGCACTGAAGACAGCAATGCTGTTTATGTGGATTAGGGATACAGGAGCAAGCTGTAAAACCTAATTAGTCAAATGTGTGAAAAAATGGTGGGTTGTTTTTTTTTTTTTTTATGTAATTATTAGCTGTTCAGTATAGCTCTGTACGCGCTCTTATCCATGCACTGAGGGAGCTGTATCTGCCAACCAGCGCAAGCAGGACAGATAATAGACACTGAGCTGTGCATATCGGGAAAGATTCTGTGCTGGAACGCAGAGCTGGGCTGCACTGACTGCAGTAGGGTTGCCTTTCATATCTGGGGTTTTCATCAGTGCCCTTCTGCCTCCCCGTTTTCCCAAACAGAACCTGACAATGATGCCTACGTGCGCTGCTCCTCTCGCCCCTGCAGTCCAGTCCATCATGAAGTGCACTCCAAGCTCTCTAGCAGTCCTCCTCGCTCCAGTCCTGCCAGGCTTGGACCTTCCTACGTACTCAAGAAAGGTAGTGCAAGGAGTGGTATGCTGGGAGGCACAGGGGGGTAGCAGGTAGAGGAGGAGGGCTTCACCTACAGAATAGGCAAGGAATCGATCATGATTCTTGATAAACAGTTGTAAGAAGTGCTGATTCCCCTGGATGTCAGTGCTTTCTAAAATAGTACTAGGCAAAGACTACAGTAAACCTGCAGGTGAAGTCAAGCTCTGGGCACGACAGATGTTCTAGCATGTTCTAATATTGGAGCTTGAAATGATTTCCATGTCTGCATCTGCGAACTGTGGTGTTAATAAAATGGCTATGAAGTCCCAGGCACAAGCTCTGTCCCTTTAGGGGAGTGTGGAGATGTGTAAACATTTGTCTGCCAGATTTGCATTTCATAGCGTGTGGGCCAAAGAACTGTAAGATGATGTTACCGAGAGAGAGCTTCCTGCCTCTTGGACATCCTGGGCTCACAATATTAGAACTAAGGCTGCAGATGTCAATCCAGTGCTGGGAGCATTGTTAGGCTTCAGAGTGGAGCCTGGCTTCTGTTGTTACCAAACTGGTCTCTTCATCCCAAGCAAATTGCAAAATGAAATCCCTCAGCATTGCGTAGCCTGCAAACACAATGGCATGTGCTTATACCACTGTCCTTACAGCTGTTCAGTAATGGCATTCTTTCCTCAGCTGTGTGCCAGCCCCTTGGCTGAGGTCAGCACAGCCACAGATGTTCTGGCCGGATGAAGAGCATTCTGTCTCCATGCACGTGTGCATAGGGAAGAGGGTTTGTTGTTAAACAAAACTCTGTTTGGCCAGTCCCTGCTGTGGAGAGTCCTCTCCAGTGCAAGACACCTGGGGAGCACATGGTAAATGTCAGAGCAGGGAGGAAAAAAGGACAAAGTACACAGGTTGGTGGGGGGGAGAGGAAGTAAAGTGTAAAGCTTAGAACAAAATATTGGAAGACCTCAGAAAAGCCAGGGCTTTCTGTGGCAGGGCCAGGCTTCTAAACATGTAGTAAGAGGGTGGAAACAGGATTTCCAGTAAGACAATTTCTGCCTGCTGAGAGCTGGCATGTCTGTGTGAGTTCAGCTGGCTACCTCTCCCTTTCTTGTACCAAATGAAGCAGCAGCTGTCTTCATGTCAGTTTACAACGGGCTCCACTGTCTCACTGGCATGCAAGTGGTGTCTGAACGTGCAGGACAGCACTTGTCCGGTGTTGTTCTTGTGTGGCTGCATGACTCTATTGAGATGGGAGATGAGGAAGGAGTTGCTACATGATGGGTCTCCCTTGTCTGTCTTTCAGCCCAGATGCAGGCTTCTGGGAAAAAGAAGAAAGAACTTCGCTATCGCAGTGTGATTTCTGACATCTTCGATGGCTCCATTCTCAGCCTGGTCCAGTGCCTCACATGCGACAGAGTGAGTCTCCTGGTGCTTGTCAGTCAAGGAGCACACAGGCTTCTGGCTTGTAGATCTCTTCTTAGGAAATGGTGCTCACATTTCCTAACACTGTGGGATGCAGCAGTCCTGCTAAAATGACAATAGGTGGATGGCAGGGGAGGTGTGAGGAACCTGCCATGCCAAGAAGACATATTTCTCTGTAGGGATCTGTTCGCTTATCTGTGTTTCTGAGCTGGCCTAGCAATATCACATTCACATCACAAAATTGATGCCAGTGCTCCAAAAACCATGACAAAAGTCATCCTGCTGACAGCAGTGAAGAATAATTAGCCAGAGTGGGTTGCTTTTACTGTCAGCTCAGGTTTCTAGCCTAGACAAAATCCAAGCAGTGATAAAAGGTGATGAAGGTCAGGTCCCAGCTCCATTACATGCACAAGAAACACAAACTTCTTCCTCTTGGATATTTCCAGGTTTCTACAACAGTGGAGACATTCCAGGACCTGTCACTCCCAATCCCAGGGAAGGAGGACTTGGCCAAGCTGCACTCTGCCATCTACCAAAATGTGCCAGCTAAGACAGGAGCATGTGGGGACAGTTATGCTTCACAAGGCTGGATTGCTTTCATCATGGAGTATATCCGGAGGTGTGTTCCCTATGCAGGACCTCTTTTTTCTGGGGTTTGCCCTGCAGTGCTGGAAGGCAGCTGTCCCTAACCAGTGGTGTTTACAGCAGAATGTCAATAGTAACCATTCCTTGGATGACAGTGTGTGGACCTCACAGGTCTTTGAGCCTTTTCATGTAAACCAGTTGCTACTGTTCCTCTAGTTCTGTCATACACCTTGAGATCTCTTTTGCAGCTGATAATCCCTCACTTCTGCCTTTAGCTCAGTCTTGCCCTCCAGAGCAAATTAATTCCTGGTGTAGTTTTCCAAATCATTTCCAGTTTGAGCAGTCACAGGAGGAACATCAGCTGAGAGATCATGCTTTCCCTGCTCTTCTGGGATGTGTGATGAGCTTAGTTAGGACCTACAGCTAGAAGGAAATCTGTCATCCGTTTGGGGTTTTGTATGCCAAAGTGTCCAGCTATTTTATGTATAATGTTCTCTTAATCCTCTCTCTTCTGCAGATTTGTGGTGTCTTGTATCCCTAGCTGGTTTTGGGGTCCTGTTGTGACGCTGGAGGATTGTCTTGCTGCCTTTTTTGCAGCAGATGAGTTGAAGGGTGAGTTTTCTTCAGTGGGGTCTGACAGCTCAAAACAAGGCAAACTGCATGGAGGAGTATTTCACATGCATTTTGGAGGCAGATTAAATCTCCTGTAAATCCTGCCTCGGTATTTCACTTAGAGACTGGCAGTACCCAAAGTTGGCAGTTAAGCGTCTCTGAGCAGAATTGAGTTTTCACACCTGCCCACGGGTGGGAAATCCGACTGAGAGTGTCCTCAGCAAGGAGCAGACATGGCTGTTGGTTGTTTGCGTGTGCTGTGGCTCCTTAGCCTTCTTAGTTTCTTTGCTTTCTCCATCAACTCCTTAAGCTCTAGAGGACTCAAACAATTTGCTGTATTCACTTGCGTTAGTGGGCAATTGCATACTTTCCTGCTGGTTGACTGCATTCTCTTCTTGCCTACACTTCTTGCGAGAAGCATTAGTTTTGACCTCTTCTCATCCTGGCTTCCCCAAGAGGTTGCTTAGCTTGGTTTCTGTGCACTGGATGGAAGGGTAGCCATGTCAGCGTTGTGTGCTCTGAGTAACTGCATAATGGCTTTCTTCTCTTTGTCTACAGGGGACAACATGTACAGTTGTGAACGGTGTAAAAAGTAAGTCTGTATTATCTGTATCATGTTGTATTTCTGGAACTTTATTTCCCTGCACGGCTGTCAAACATTTTGCTACGCCCTCTGCCTGGACATTTCTTCTGCTGAGTGGCCTATGAAATCTGCCTTGCATTATACTGGAGTTCTGGTCTTGAGAGGTCACTGATGGCAGATAGGAAAAGTGCTGGCTGTGGGGGGGAAAGAAAGGACGAAAGATATGAACAGGGATGTGGCTTGGCAGTAATGGAGCTATTGTATTAGAAAGAAGAGGCATGACAAACTGCTCATGCCATGCCTCATTTGGGAAGGATGCTGCAAAGAGCCTGAATTTGTTGCTGCTAGAATTCAAGATTTGTCTTGGATTTCAAAGCGAGCAAGACCCAGCCTTGCCTTTTGGCCTCCTTTTGCTTTAGAGATTTCTCACAGCTAGTTTCTTTTTCTCTCTCAGACTGCGGAATGGAGTAAAGTACTGCAAAGTCCTCCGGCTACCAGAGGTGAGTAAAACACCTTCTTTCCTAGTTTTCTTTCAGCAGCCACTGAGAAGGTAAGGACACTAGAGGTAGAACAGAAATAGCAGTTTGTTTTGGTGGCAAAGTCCTGTATCTAGACCAGAAGAGGCTTCCCCATTCTAAGCTGATGAACCAGCATGTTTCATGACTAACAGGCAAAAAACTCTTGCAAAGATCAGATGCACAGAGATTGTAGAACCATTGAATGGTTTGGGTTGGAAGGGACCTTTCAAGGTCATCTAGTCCCACCCCTGCAGTGAGCAGGGACATCTTCAACTAGACCAGGTTGCTCAGAGCCCCGTCCAGCCTGACCTGGAATGTTTCCAGGGATGGGGCATCTACCACCTCTCTGGGCAACCTGGGCCAGTGTTTCACCACCCTCATTGTGACAAATTTCCTCCTTCTATCTAGTCTAAACTCCTTAGTTTAAAACCATCACCTCTTGTCCTATCACTACAGGCCCTGCTAAAAAGTCTGTCCCCATCTTTCTTATAAGCCCTCTTCAAGTACTGAAAAGCTGCAGTAAGGTTTCCCTGGAGATGTGCTGGTGTATCAGAACACCCACGGCAAAACTGTGCTTTGGTGTTCTGTCTTTGGTCTTTTAGATTCTTTGCATCCATTTGAAACGGTTCCGGCATGAGGTGATGTATTCTTTCAAGATCAACAGTCACGTCTCCTTCCCCTTGGAAGGGCTGGATCTGCGGCCTTTCCTAGCCAAGGAGTGTGTCTCCCAGATCACCACCTACGATCTCCTGTCGGTCATCTGTCACCATGGCACCGCAGGCAGTAAGTCCTTCTTCTGTGAGTACAGGCAGAGCTGAACAGGAACGAGCTGAGTATGAGCAAAGCAGAAGTGTGTTCCAGGACTAGCCAAACACCTCTTCTGGGATGAAGTGCAGTGTAAGGCCTGCCCCCTCCATTCCCAGGCTTGCTCAGCCTCTGCCCTTTGAAAAGTGAACCAAGCAGCTTCTGACACATCCCCTGCAGCTATGGCAGCCTCACCACTGGGTTGGCTCAAACCCTTTCCCAAAGTTCAGTCTCACTGCGAGGCCCTTTCCAAGGAAGGCAAATCAGGGTGGCAGTGCCAGGCTTCCCTGCTCCTGCAAAGCCTGCCTGAACAGGAATTATGATGCCTTTTTTTTTCTTTTTTGGCACTCTCCGTTCTCTTCCAGCAGCTAATCCTATTTGTGCTGCTGACATTATCCCAGGCCTGACTTCTGTCTGCACTCCGAATCCCAGTGGTGTCGTGTGTTCTCTGTTATAGGTGGGCATTACATAGCCTACTGCCAGAACGTGATCAATGGCCAGTGGTACGAGTTTGATGACCAATATGTCACTGAAGTTCATGAGACTGTGGTACAGAATGCAGAAGCCTATGTCTTGTTCTACAGGTGAGCTGTGCCCTGGATGCAGCCGTTCCTTGCTGGTTACAGAATACCTAGAAATGCATTTGGAAAACTAAGTTTTCAGGAATTGCTTAACTTTCTTTTCCTTTTCCTACTTAAGGAAAAGCAGTGAAGAGGCTGTGCGAGAGCGTCAGAAAGTTGTGTCCCTTGCCAGCATGAAGGAGCACAGTTTACTGCAGTTCTACATCTCTCGGGAGTGGCTCAACAAATTCAACACGTTTGCTGAGCCTGGTCCCATCACCAATCACACTTTTCTGTGCTCTCACGGAGGTAAGGCAGCGCTGCCGGACCTGGGAATAGCAACTCTCAGCTACACCTTTATGCTTCCTGGTGCATTAACAAATGCAGAAAAAAAGCTCCAGCTCTCATCCTGATACAGTATACGTTGCAGTAGGATCCACTCCTTTGGCAGAAACTGCAGCCTGCTCAGGGAGAGATGAGACAATTCCCCCATTGTCCTGCTGATCAGAGGCCCAGAGCGATGTGTAGTGCTGGGAAACAACAGTTTTCAGTTCTCTGTTTTTAAAAACAAACCTGTAGAAAGGAGATAAGACAGCATTTATCTGTATTACCCTGTCAGCAAAGTTGGCCTTCAGTGTTTGGAGAATGGAGTGCACGCTACTGAAGAGAGCCGACACCATGTTTTATTGTTCCACTTTTTCATCTGTCATGCTGGGGAGCCCTCGTGTTTTACAAATCACCGAAATAAAGCACTTGATTAGAAATTGAGGCCATGAATTAAGAAACCTCCACAATTAATGAACTCTTGACTGTCTTCCATTAGCAGAGGAAGCAGATTCTGGAATCGGGGAGTTTTCGGCAAGGGAGACTGACTTTTTTTATTTGTGTCTTTACCCAGCAATAATGAGTTCCTTGGTTAACTCTCCCTCTTGCTTTCCTTCCACAGGGATCCCTCCTAATAAATACCATTATATCGATGACCTGGTTGTGATTCTGCCACAGAATGTGTGGGAATATCTCTACAACAGGTGAATATGGACACTTCATTCTTCCTCCCGATGAGTTTTGTTTTTTGTTTCACACTTGGGGCAGTGGCCAAGGCATAATCCCTTCCCAGGGCACCTTAAAGCTATGCAGTACTTGCTGTGGACTGGCAAAGACTTGGATTTGGTAGATGGTCCTCATCTAAACCAAAATGAGTTTTATCAGTGCGTTGTCCCAGAGCAGTATTGTGACCCTCACTGTGTTGAGTAAAGCCAGTACTCTCCATTCAGAAAACGGCTGCAGATGCACCTCCTTCACCAGTGTCTGTAGTAGTATAAAAATCCGCCTCTGCAGGATTCGGGGCTGGGAAGCATTTCCATTCTCCTGCAGTTCTCCATTCCCCTCCCTCTCTTCCTGTGCCCAGGTTTGGGGGTGGCCCTGCTGTGAACCATCTGTACGTGTGCTCCATTTGCCAAGTGGAGATCGAAGCACTTGCCAAACGCAGGAGAATTGAAATCGACACCTTCATCAAGGTTTGTATGGGAAGAATCTGGAAGCAGTGGCAGAGGTGGGAAATGGAGACCTGTCACAGTTAGTGGGAAACTTGCCCCTGTTTTCTGGAACACGAGCTACAGCATGGTCAGGAGTTTGATCTCGGGGTTCCGCAGTGCTGGTGGCACAGGGAGGGGCGGCTGGAAAACGATGATGCTGTGCATGGCTGCATGCAGATGCGAAGTTTGAAACCGTCGTAGGCTCTTGCCTGCTCTAGTGAGCAGGAACGGGTTTTGAGGAAGGTGGGGGAATTACATGGGGTTCTTCTGAAAAATGGCAAGGCTGCCTTACAGTTAACAGAAGGGGCTCCCCAGGCCTCAGGAGCGACTAAATCCTTCCTGCATGTCTCTTCTCCTCTGCTCTCCCAGCTGAACAAGGCTTTCCAGGCAGAGGAATCTCCAAGCGTCATCTACTGTATCAGCATGCAGTGGTTCCGTGAGTGGGAAGCTTTTGTCAAGGGGAAGGATAATGGTAAGAAGCCAGAGACCTCTGGAGTCTGTCCGGGGTGAGAGGTAGAATGGAAACAAGTCTGTTTGCTAGGTGCACCTCCTGAGTGAGCACTGCACCTGACTGGTATGACTTGAAGCTGAACAGAGTTCAGACACGAGCTACTCAGACTGCCTGTAGGTCCCCAAGAGCAGGGCAGAAGTAACAAAGAGAACTAGCTTGGGAAATAAGCTGAATCTGGTGGCAATGTGGAAAGCAGAATGGTTTTTGATATGTTTGTTCTCCTCTTACAGAGCCTCCTGGACCAATTGACAACAGCAAGATTGCACTCACAAAAGCAGGTGGCCACGTGCAAGTTAAGCAGGGTAAGGCTTGTGCTTGCCGTCTTGCAGTGTTCGTAGAGGGTGAAGGAGAATGTTCCATTGGATCTAGCTGCCCATAGTGAAGCAGTCACAGAGCAAGATGGTGTTGCAGAGGATGACAGTTCTCTGCACATCCCTGTGCTGACTGCCCTGAGTGAGCCATCCCAGTTCTCCACTAACTGCTCCTGCATGACCAGCTTGCTGATGTGACTTGTTACAGTGAAGCCTGCAGTCCCCACCTCCTGCTGTTGCTGTTACCCAGGCCCCTTCCACCATCCCCCTTTGCCCAGCTTTGTAGCTTTGATCTTTACTCAGCATCTGCTGTGGTCCAGCTTGTGAATTAACATTGCTTGTGCTGTCCTCGCTGGGCTCTGCTGCCAAGCAGATAAAGATTGTGTTAGTAGCTTGGTTATCTCTCAGAGCAAACCTTTCTGCTTTTTCTCTGTAACCTTTATGGCAAAGTTCTCTGCTTTCCCTGCGTTGACCACCATAAGTTGTCCTTCCTAGGACAGCTTGGAGGGCGGTTTCTGTCTGTCCCAGGCAGTGCAAACCCCACCTGCCTGGGACTGCTGTGTCTGCATGTTTGTAGGCCGCCGGGGCTCTCGCTGGTGTGTGCGAGGGGCAGTCAGGCAGGCCCTGGTATCATGGGCTGGTGCTGCTCAGTTTCCCTTGGGGAAGGGAAGAAGTGACCCCCCCAGCGGTCGGCGACGCTGCCCTGGAGCGCCAGTGGCATTGCTGAGGGCTGGTGGGGCCCGCTGTGCCCGCAGCTGCGCAGCGCAGAGCCGCCAGCGGGGCGGGGGGCTTCGGTGGGTCTGGGCCATGCAGCTGCAGGGACCACTTGTGCCTCGCTTGTCCTGAGGGTGGGCCTGTGCAGGGGGAGGTGGCGGGAGAGGAGGATGTCCTCGTGTGGTGAGGCACCAGCCTTTTCCTCCCCTGGCTGCAGGGAGTAAGGACCTAGTGGCCGCACGTGTGATTACTGCTGTTGTCCCTTTCAGGTGCTGATTATGGGCAGATTTCCGAGGAAACATGGATTTACTTAAGCACACTGTATGGAGGGGGCCCGGAGATTGCGATCAGACAGAATGTGGCCCAGGCCCAAGAACTGGAAAACCTACATGGGGAGCAGAAGATTGAAGCAGAGACACGGGCTGTGTGATCTGTGTGGGATGGGGCAGGGAAGGTATGGCACAAGTATGTCTGTGTGGGGATGGAAGGCTGGGGAGTCCCGAGGAATCAAACCTCTTCCATTGTCTGGCACTCGAAGGCGTGCGCCGCTCCCACCACCACTTCTGGGGAAGGCAGGTTTCCTCCGCTGACCTTTCATGTGGCTTTGAATACAGGGGTGGTGCTGGGCAAGACTGGGAGAAAATCAGCTTCTCTGTACTTCATCTCTGGATAAAGCTGTGGTAGGAGAATGCAGCCAGACTTCACCAGCGCGTGTTTTGACCCGAGCCCTCTCCCTTTCGTTTGCTTACACGGGCCCAGCACTCCCAGGTTGCCCCCAGTGAACTGAGTCTCTCTGCTCCTTTGCAGGTTTTGCTTTTGGCACTTTTCTTTTTTAACTCAAACGTATAAAAGAGAACGAAAGGTTATTTATGTTTCCAGCGGGCAGCGTTGCAACTAGAGAAACTTGTTATTTGAAGCTAACTAAGCCACAAGGTCTCACGGTAGCTTTGTGCTGGTGGGGCACAGCTGTCACAACTTTCTAGTTTTTCTCTTCATCTAATTCTTGCAAATTCAGTTGCAATCAACTAAGAAATTTTGAAAGAAAGAGGCTGTTTCTTTCTCCCCTGGTCCCTAAAGGCACACCTTCACAGTCCTGCAGGTTTGTGTTGGTTTTTTTTTTTTTCTCCTTGTATCTGATTTCATGTGTTCAGCACGTTTTCTGAAAAGAAAGCTGGAAGGTGAGTCCTCCTTCCCACTGGCTTCCCGCTGTACTCTTTCTGCTGAAGCTCCTGGCAGCTTTGTAGCTCTGGGACGCAGCCTTCTGGGTGTTTCTCTTGCAGGGGCAGTACACCAGCAGCTTAAACCCAGAGCTGTTGACAGGCAGGCTTTGCTGAAGCGGGGCACAGGACTGCTGTGCTGCGGCCTTTAGGAGTCATGGTTCATAACCCCATTCTCAGGCTGACCCTGCCGTTAAGCCCCGATCTGTCTCCATGTCTGTCAGGAAAAGCAAAGGGTGCGTGAAGGATGAGGAGGAGCCCGGTTCTTCGCACAGAGCCTGTTCAGACGGGTCACCCTTGGTTCAGCGCTGGGGAAGGGGCCTGGCTGAGCAGGCCCCAGGCTGTTGAAGCAGCTTTTTAGGAATGAGCTGCTTTCTGCAAACAAGCCCCCACCCGTGTGCTGAGGTCATTCCAGCTTCTCAACACAGATGTCATTTGTGTACACAGTGGCTCATTTAATGAACAAAAATAACTTGGCCCCCCCATCTACTGCTGCTAACGCAGCCATGGAGCATCCGACAGCAGGCAGTGGGGAGAGGAATGAAGGCAAAAAAGGGTAAACACTACTTTTCTCAGCAGGGCTATTCTTAAAAGCTCTTTGTTCACTCCTTAAGCCAGAAAGGTAATAGTGAAATCTTGTGTGACTTCGCAAGCATTTGAGTGCAGTTTAACGGAAGCAGACGAGGTGAAGCAGGCAAGGCTGAGATGGGCTCTCATGGGCTGAGGAACCCAGCTGTGTGTTTGTGGTGGTGCTGGAACCTGAAGGATTCCACAGCATCAAGCCTGGCCTCAGTGGTACCAGACTCAGCATAGGGCTGGGACCTCCTGAGCTGCTCCTGTAAAAGAGGGAGGGAAAGGCTGCTCTTCGACGTAGAGATAGAAAATGGGGGTGTAGGAAAGGAGAATTCAAAAAGCAAAATGTGGCCTTCAGATTTTTTTTTTTAGACCAAATGTTTGCTGCAAATAGCAACTTCTTCAAAAAAGTGTCTATAAATGGTTCAGCATGTTAATCCTGTTTATGGGATCCTTGTATATACCCGGCCAGGCCCAAGGGGAGGTCAGAGAACGAGCCACTGTTGGGATTTGTCATTGTTTTAAGTTGTCTTTGTTAGCCACTGCAGCCACCCTCAACTCTGCTGCAGAGGCTGTAGGGCTGCATGTCTGTGTTGTCCGTGCTGTTCAGAGGATGCTGTACAGACTGTAGTGACACTCCTGTGCTTCAGTGTGATACTTTGTGCTGAAAAGTGTTACAATAAATACATGTGCATTCAACAGCATGCTGCCTGCCTGGTGTGGTGGGAGGGTCTGACAGCTTCTGGGGGGGCTTAGGTACTAATGAAATTTAAAAAAACCCCAACAATAAAAAACCCCGAGCTTCCTGCTGCCAAGAGGCCTGGCAGTAACAGATCCTTCTGAGCAGCAGCGAGCTTCGGTAGCCCAAGTCCACTAAATCGTTCTGCGCTCATTCGGAGGAGGGCGCCCGCTGCTCCCCGTCAAAGACTTCCTCGCCGCTGTTCCAGCCGGGTTTGCTCAGAAAGCCCAGGCTGGCTGGAGGCATGTGCTCTTCATGACCATCCTTGCTACGAGAGTAGCTTGCAAGGGAAGTAGTTGAAAGTTTCATTGAGCCGTGCTAGGTTTCTAGAAGAGAGTTTTCTGTGGGGCTGTTGGGTGGCTAAAATGTCCTTAACTGATGTCACCCACTTCCCTGGTAACACGGGAAAGCAGCTTTGCCACCGCGGCCGCAGGGAACACTGTTGCTCTCGCCAGCCTGTCGCCGTGTGCTGCCCCTGTGAATTAATAAGAGTTGCTAAACCAGGCGGGTGCCACGAGTGCTGCCCGAGGCTGGGGGCTGGAGGACCAGAGCAGCGAGTGACACCGCCTTAGCTGAAGGTCGAAATAGCCAAAGAAACCAAACTCGAGTTGGGTGAATACGAACGCGCAGCTTGTTCTTTAGCAACTTGAAGTCAACCGTCAAAACTCGCATCTCACAAACAAACGTCGTCACCTCAGCAACTGCCGGGGGGCAGCTCCAAACGATCCAGGAGACAGCACCGCCCTCCCCTAGGGAGGGGATTACTCAGTGTCTAGACAAACAGCTCGAGCGCTGCTCTGGCAAAACCAGAATTGTACTTTTTGTTCCTCTGTCCGTTAAAACACTCAAAGCTTAGTTCTACATCTATCTGTCATTTGAAATCTGACTGCAGCCTTGCTTTCCTCCGACTCCCGGGGTAGGCAGCTACGGCACTTCTGAGCTGCAGCTAGCTTTGGGACCCACTGCCACCGCAAGCTACGTTTCATGGCTGAACTCTTCGGTTCCTTTTGCAAATCTCTTCGCTTCCCCCCCCTTTTTTTTTAAATCGGGGCCCTTGCTGGTTGCAAAAAGGGGAGATGAAAGGCCTGTTCATGCGTTGGACTGACGGAGCTAACCTCACTAATCAGATTATCCACTCCCTCTCCCCAGCCTTGCGGGAGCGCTGGGCAGTTCAGTTTACGTGTGCTGCTCCTCTGCCGCCGACTCCTCTCGTGCCCAGACTGTGGCCTCACGAGCAGGCAGATCATTCGGATGCAGCTCAGCTGTGATACAGATGACAAGTACATGCTCTCACCGTACGATGCATGCGTCATGTCAGCCCGTAGAAAGGGGACTTGGCCCTTCCTCCAGTGGCACGGGGCCCACGTACCGCACGCCGCAGCTCTGCCCTCCCCGGCACTTGCTCCCCTTGCCGCAGCGTTGCTCTGTAGTCCACGGGTGCCAGTGGCACATCTCCGCCCTCCTGAAGGGCCCAAGTACAAGCCCTCCTGAACACTGCCACGCTCAGCTGGCACATGGAAACCTCATTTTATTTCCTTCCTAGTTAAGGCTCAGCTTGGCTTCAGCTTCCAGTCTTCACTCACTCGTTGGGTTGTGCTGTTTCTATTTACAGTCAGCAACACTAATACTGCTTAAGATAAATCAAAGTCAGAGCCAGGTGGACACCCCCTCCTGTTCATTGTTTCCCAAAAAACACAGAGGCAAGCAAACTGTTTCACAAACAGTACGACTTCTCCTGAATTGGCAGGGTTGTTCATTAGTGCTGAAACACTAATTTAAACAACTGAAATTGTTTAAAAAAAAAAAGGCAATCTGACCTTAAGAAAAAATCTCTGCATAGCTGCTCCAAATGAAATTATCGGTCAGGTGTCACCTACTATGAGCTGTACAACTGCAAATCCTCATGGCTCCTGGATGAGGCTATTTCCAATGAACTGGACTAACAGGTGAGGGAGAAGCTGTCCAGCCAGGGTTTTCATCTCAGCTAGAGAGACACCATTCGCCGACGCTGAATATTAAAATTGATTTGTAAATATCCTCACCCAGACTTGCAGAAATGCGTCTGGTCTGCAGAGTATTTGGTGAAGGGAAGCACCACTGTATTTCATACATCTCCGCGTTCAGGCACGCAGGCACAAATGCATTATTTGCTAGGCTTGCAACAGGTTTAGTTTTAATGCAGAAACAATCTGCATCAAAAACATCTGCCACGACTTCCAAGCATTCACTATGGGCATTACAAGGTACAACTCTGTGATAGAGGAAGTATTTTCCCCAAGCTTCCAGTTCTCGTGGCCTGCAGTGGGAAAAAGCAAGATCCACCTGTCTTTCCCAAGCACACCAACAATTCCAACCAGAACAGTGCATTTTTCTTATCCTCAACTGACCAAATAATAATAATAAAAAAAACCAAAACCAAAACACCAACCACTTCATTCTCCCTGGGGTACCAGCTGGAAAGGTAAACTTTTGATAAAATTGTGGTTCAAAGTGATCTGATGGGAACTAGCTATGTGGGACAGTCACTCAAAGGTACAAGACAGAGCCAAATTAATACTCCAAGCACCTGAAAATTCAGGTATGAGGGAATATGAAATAAACCCCCCTAAAACAAGTACCACAAGTAAGAATGTGTCATCATTCTTCTGAATACAGCAGCTAGACACAAGCACCCCACTGGAACAGGCCATTTCTGCTGATCTTTGTAAATCGTACAGCTGGAAGTGAAACCCAAATCCATCCCACAGTCAAGGAGAATAATGAGGAGTACGAGAGCAGCTGGGGGGAGTTTCAGGCTGTAACATCTCTATCTGGCTGAAACAGGAGGTCACAGCTAAGTTCCCGTTCTGAACTGGGAACACTTGTGGCAAGGCAGAAAGCTTGCTGGGGAGCCCTGGACAGAATACCTCAACGAGCGGGAGGCAGCCCAGCAAAGAGGCATTGCCCTTTTTATTGGGAAAGAGAAGCCACAAAACCATTTTTCTTCTCTGCATGATCAAAAGGGTCTAGTGAAACTGTCTTTCTGGAATTAAATGTTTATTTAAATATGTGAATGACTTTCTTTTCATCGTTACAAGGTCAATATTCGCTTTCAAATGGAAGCACTTTATTTGGTTGAATTCTGTCTCCAGAAATGAACGGGCAACACCAGAACCTTTTACATTGGCAATGAAATCACAACACTGAGATGCCACCAAAATCTAGAGATCAGTGCTCAAACACACATACACACACATATACAAATAAAAAAGTGCTCGACATCATCATGTTAAAATAGAATTTGGCTTCTTTTAGGTCATTTGACACTTCAGGCAGGAAAACAAAAAACAAAGAACAATATGCATCAAACTAAATGAACTTCTGAAAAATACTCAGCATTAAACACAACTTTCAGTATCAGTAAATATGTTTCTTCTCTATTTACAGGTGTTAAGAAAGGGCATTAGAGACTTTTGCTGGGGATAAGGAGATTTTGTAGGATGGTCAGTCCACGCTTCTGGGCGAGATTAGTAAATTCAAGCAGAGTTTTTATAAACCAGTCACATGTTTAGTCCTTCGGCTTTTGTAAAAGGTAATTTCTACAAAAATTACTCATTTGTTACCCTGAATAAAGGCAGCAGAATAAAGATGTGTAGGCTACAATACATGACTGTCACTATTTTTTTCTCGCAGTAAGTTTTAAGATCCAGGCTTTCAAGAACTAGTTGCCAAGTTTATAAAAACTCCATACATGGTCTCTTAATAAAACTTTTGAAGAAAATCAGTCAGCTAAAGCTAATGCTCCTTCTAACGCGCTATTTAGCAACACAGACATTGCAATTGTTCAAATGTTCCACAGAGGCTGACAATAATATACTGTCCACCTAGATTAAATATATAAAAGCAAACTTTTATCTAATTTTTACATAGATGGCACAACAATAGGTGAAAATGAATTCTCCTAGCTGCTGATTCAACAGTGCATTGGACACGAGAATAAAAATATTGCAGCTAAAAATATTTCGAAGATATTTTTGCACACCTGTTAACTGCTTAACCATTTAGATCCCCTGATAGATGGATGGTGGCTGTGCAACGCAACAAAGCCTTTGCACAAGTCTTTGCCACTAGAGCCAGCCGTGTGGATCACATTCTGCTATTGGAGGCTCGTGGATCTAAACAGCTAAGCGACCAGAGTAGCAGCAATGATAAGGATGGTAATTTAATCGACTGTGACCCTTCCGACACCACTAACACTGTAGCTGAACAGCCTCGACGTTGGTATCGGCTGCTTCGCAATGCAGGCTCCTGAGCCACTTGAATTAGATTAAAAAACATAACCTTTTGCTGGTTGATGCTTGCAGATATTAAGCACCATAATACAACAGCTACAGTACTAACTGTAGGACAGGGACTCTGTGCTATTAAAAATAAAAGTTGGTATCTTGAATGGAAAGGGACAGAGTTATGAACGCAACATGTAATCCAACTCAAAAATTACTTCATGCTGAGTGGGGATGACCTAGGCAACCCCCAACACGGAGAGCACACGATTCGTGGACACGTTTCTATATGCTGACCCTGCACAAAAGCACAGCAGGCAGCAAAACAGCACACACACGTTTGTCTGCAAATTAAACCTGAGAGGTTTCATTTTAGGGTCGCTGCTTGTAGTGGCTTCTGTATTGATTTTCTGAAATTCTGGGGATCTTACAAAATATGCTGAAGTTCGCTGAAAGCAAGTAGATCTCCCCAAATGATGTGTTGATCTATGAATAATTAGGCCCCCGGGAGCTATTAAGTAGCAACTGACTGACGGGGCTCAAACACGTACAAGGTGACTGTGAAATCCCAGCCATGGTAAAGACGCGGGGGAAACCAACAGTTACAACACAGAAGTTCAGGAAGCAATTGACCCTTTTGTAGGCAGTTGAGGTCCAGATCACGTGACGTTTGGAGATACGACAGCTCTCTGTCCACTGCATGACGCGATAAAATGCAGCATCACTTATCATGCTACTTCTGCTTCAAATAAACCCATGTGAGAACAGGATGGCTGATGAATAAGTCACAATTCCTGTCTGGCTTCTGGGTCGAGGTCCAGTCCATGACAAGGAGGGAGAACGAAATAGAGCGCAGTTTCTTTTTTTCCTTTTCTCTTTTATTTTTCTAAAAAAAATTCTGTTATTCAAACATTAACTGATGAAAACACACAAGAGGTCATGCAAAAGGAGAAGGCAGGTCTGAAATGCTGAAAAACAAACCAACAAAAGAAAAACTGCAAAGAGATTAACAACAATGAGCCACAAAATAACGTGACCCTCAGGAAGGTGGGCGCAGGCAAGGCAACAGGGCGAGCATGCAGACTGAAACGAGAGCAAAACGGAGGTCTCTGTGACGAACAAAATGGGGCTTCAAACCAAAATGCCAGTGTCTCTGTCTGTGTGTGTCTGTGTGTGTGTGAGAAAGAGAAGGGAGAGTGGGGGAATAAAGAGGAGGGGGCAGAGAGAACAAGCAGGAAAACAAGCGTACATACGTGAGCTTGAAGGCTTTCAGGAAACAGCAAGGTCATGGGGATTTAATACTTGGAATGAGCATCAGCCTAGATTTAAAAAAAAATAAAGGCTGACAAGTATTAGTGACCTTTTGGGGAAAGCAGAATATTGCATAATGCATGTGTATCAAATTTAATATCTGCAGATTCAGAGCCCAGTCCAGCTGCTGTAACACTGTTCCCAGGGGAGGCTTTCCACGTGTACGTACCTCCCTTCGATGAGACCACCTGCAGGATTAGCACTAAAGGCACCGTGTGAAATGCGGATGGAGCAGTGCATACATTCAGATGGACTGCGGGACAAGGGAGGACAGAAGACAGACCAGTACATGCTTGGGACACTCTGGTTACCCTTTGCATCAAAGGGCAGCCAGCAGTTCTTTGACCGGTGTTGGAAGGAATTGGGTGGGGGGAAAGTGTTGGTTACGTTTACAGAGGGGCTGTGCCAAGCTGGCAGCGGAGTGGGAAAGGCTGATAAGTTAATCTGAGCCACAGGTAGCATGCCATGAAAAAGAGCAAGCATCTGAATGGTACTGGGATGGAATTTAGGTCTGAATTTTTCAAGTGGGAACTCCAGACAAGACTGGGAGTCTGGCTTTCCGTGGGTGTGTTTTAACTGCCTGCAGGGTAAACAGACCATTTTGTTTCTCCTTCTGCGACAAGCTCGCCCCGAGGTTCTTGCACCAGCACAAACACCTTTAGGAATCTAAAACATAAGAAAGACAAAAAGAAAGAGACTGGATTAGAAAGAGGCTGGGGAAAACGGGATCTGTTAAGAGTAGTACTGCCTGCAGGAGGTTAAAAGGAAATACAGCATCCAAGCATCTACCAGGTGACAAGGGGTTAAGGAAGGCTCAAAACAGTAATCATTCACCCTCAGCCCTTCCCTCCAGCCTGGGACAGCATCACTGGGGACACTGCTCGCCTCTGGGAGGAGGATGTAAAATAAAACTGAGGAGCAGGACGCTGCCAGCACCTTTAGCGCAACAGAGAAAACAACAGCTTTTTAATTTTCAGTCTGCAAAGGAGTACTGCATCTGTTCAAGTGACAGCTCCAGAGACCGTGGATGACACTGAAGAGTAACAACAGGAAGCTAAAACACGAAGAATTTTGCAGAGGAATCCAGACTAGCTACCCTTTCCACAACAGGCTGCGAAGACCTTCATTCTTAAGAGACATGCAGAAATAAACAGGTAAGTGAAAGCAGTCTTAGCCCCTAAACCCATCCTTTGTCACACTCCTGGTCCCACAAACTTCTGGCTGAGGGTAAGTTTTCTTTGTGGCCAAGTGAAGCTACAATCCAGAAGTGTGATTTGGCCAAAGAGACTGCTGTATCCAAGGGAGTACAGGGTGAGTCCAAACTTCACTTGCATTCAAGAGAGCAAGGGAACCTTCTGATCTCCTTTGTGCCCACTTCCATAAAAGAAAAAACTCCAAATGACAGCACGAAAAAGTTTTCACAGAGCCACAATAAAATATTTTTCCTGAAAAGGAATTGCATTTATACTTAAGGTGGGAATCAGGTGAAAAGGAGCTCTGGGCCATTTGCTTTCCCTTACTAAAGTTAAACTTAAATTATTTGCCATTAAAAAAAACCTCACAGGAATGAGAAAATATAATGTTTATTAGAAGACGACACCATGGTACATCAAGCTATAAAGAGATTCCTGACAGATGATGATTCTTTAAAAAATAAGAATAGAAAGGAAACCACCACACTGGTCAAGTTTAACAAAACCTTAACACAAACCAAAAGTTTCTATGCAAGTCCAACCAGATGCAGGCAGTTGAGTAACGAAAAATGCTTATCAACACAAGAGGGACTGAGTAGTTACCAAAACAAGAGCTAGGTTAAGCAGAACAGCCTACAAAACCATTTAAATTTATACATATATAAAAGGATAAAAACAATTCAAGTTCAAGTAACTTTAGTTTTTAAGTTATGTTATATACATTTTTTTGTACTGGGAAAACTAAGGGCAAGTATTTAACAAAGGGATTTTTAAAAGCCACAGTCCAGTTTATAATTACCGTTTCCTAAATAATTTGGCAAGCATTAAATAATCAGATATATCCTAGATAAAAAGTGCATCAGCATGGTTAACTTTTACCTATTTCTTTATATAAAGTCAAGGCTCTGTATAATGGTTACAGCAAAGAAACAGCAGAGCTGCAACACTGAGAATCACAGAGCAGCCTGTAAGGATTTATTTATGTAACTGGAGGCGAGGAGGAACAGACCCACAGTGGCAAAGGAGCTGAAATGCTAATCAGCCCATGGCTCCGAACTTTTTTTTTTATCAGGAAGTTTAACTTCACAAAACAGCCTCTGTTACTTGCAACGTCACCCAAACAGCCAGTCTTCCTGGTGGAAGCGAACATGGCACTTTTGTTGGGTGCAACGGAGAGTTTTATATAAAGCTGGTTATGTTCTTTTGCCTATCACACTATTTCACGGCATCCCTCAGCAAAAGATGGTTTTGCTCCCAAGCAGATGGTGAGGTACCACATTCAGTAAGAGAGTATGGTCAGTCTCGAGCAAAAAGGCCCAACTAGTGCCTGTATTCAACTGTTGTCAGCACCAGATAAAGGTGCTGAACAGCCCTGCAAGAAGCTACACCCATGTGTGCGCAGAGGAGTTTTCTTCCTCATCCCCCAGCAGCTGGAGGTTGGTATAAGCCCCAAAACACGAGTTTACATCCAACAGATCCAGTTCTCAGTCTGCCTGTTTTTTAGCATTTATAGTATTTCCTGCATGCATCACAAAGAGAATGAACTGTGTGGCTCATTTCTGTTTGGAACGACAATAATGCTGTTTACAAATAAATCGATACCGTCGCGCCAGTACTTTCATTAGCAGCGATGCACATTTTAATTTCAAGAGGCAAACTTATACATGCATCAGCTGAGTGAATGGTACCTAACGGAGTCTTTCATTGATGGAGATGTGACATGTGCACTCATCTCTTCTAAAGAAAAACTTCTGAAATAGAGCTCTTAAAACAACCGTAGCAGCAAACCAGTAGAATAAAAGGTGAACAGGCCTATGCAAACCTACTCAGAGATTTTTCTGAAGTGATTTGTACACATCTGGAAAAAAAAAAAGGCAAAACAAGATAGACATTACTGTTCTTTTTTGTGATAGGGTTTGCTAACACCTTCTGACCGGAGGTTTTATTGCAAACTTTACAAAACAGCCCTCACACGGGTATTTGCAGGAGTATGCAGACCCAGCTTGGCTCCCACGAAGACTACGGTCAGGACGGCGACTACAGCACACGACTTACCTGGCCTGTTCACCCCAGGTTCGGTAGCGAAGCCCTGACCACACAGGCTCCAGCTGACCGAAAAAGCTCGCCAGCTGCCAAGCGGCTTTTCACAAAGCATTTAGCAGCTGCAATTCTCAGGCAGAGCTGCCTCCGGCTCACGGCACTGCCACAGCCTCGCGAGGCAGGTACGTCCGAGCCAGAATTGATTGCGAGAGTCACAGATGTGCTCAGCGCTGGTGCGAATGCTCCCACCCTTCATGCAACTAAGAGGTACCAGCCACTGAAGCTTCTTTCCAAAGAGGAAAGAATTACTAAAGTTTGTAAATGCTTTAGTATTTACAGTGGCATTTTCAGGAATGTCATAGCTTCTGTTTCAAGGACTGAATAAAGTCACTTCTACTACGATATTAAAAATCAAAGATAAATTGCAGCTTGCAACAAAGTTTGTCTTTTAAATGCAGTAGCACTTCCCCCGAATCTTTCTACTGCTACTGGGACATTTTATGGAAAGTTCTCTTAGCTTTCCTTTTTAACCAGATAATTAAGAAATAAGAGGTTAATATTATAGTTCCTTCACATTAGATATTCACAGATACGTTTGATTTTGCTCCCAAAGTCCAGCAAAATTAATGGAAAAAACTTTAAAGGATCTGAAAAACCTCCATCTTTGCCACAGAAGCGGCAGCAACTGTATCAGCCTTCACTCCCAGCACAGACTACATTTTTATGATCGTTCAGCATCATCCTATAACTTACATAATACCATTAACATACACATTGCTGGCTGGTATTGCAATACTCCTGCAATAGTGCCTCCAGAAGGGTAAATTAAAGACAAACTTTTGCAAGTTCAGTTAGCAGGACTGTGTCAGTATTTCTCACCCCACCCAGAGATCTGCTTTGCTTCGCTTCCCATCCAACCTGCTGCTCTGCTCAGTAATAGGGGATTTGCTGCAACGTTTTGCTGATGTGAACCACGCTGCGTGTCGGAGGGCAGGGAAGCCACGCTTGTTACTTAAGACAGATTTAGATGCCACACTAGCTTAGCTGTTTCAAGCAGCCTACACTGCTGAACTGCTCAGATTTTCCAGCAGAGCAATAATGTTGCTTTCAACTATTGCCACACACAAAGCACTCTCCATAGAATCACAGAATCACTAGGTTGGAAAGGACCTTCAAGATCATCAAGTCCAACCATTAATCCAGCGCCACCATGTCCCCTAAACCATGTCCTGAAGCCCCACATCCACACGTTTCTTGAACACTTCCAGAGATGGCGACTCCACCCCCTCCCTGGGCAGCCTGTTCCAACGCTTGACCACCCTCTCGGTGAAGAAGTTTTTCCAAATATCCAATCTAAACCTCCCCTGGCGCAACTTGAGGCCATTTCTACTCTTGTCCTATCGCTGGTTACTTGGGAGAAGAGGCCAACACCCACCTCACCACAACCCCCTTTCAGGTAGTTGTAGAGAGCGATAAGGTCTCCCCTCAGCCTCCTCTTCTCCAGACTGAACCACCCCAGTTCCCTCAGCTGCTCCTCATAAGACTTGTGCTCCAGACCCCTCACCAGCTTCGTTGCCCTTCTCTGGACACGCTCCAGCACCTCAACGTCCTTCTTGTAGTGAGGGGCCCAAAACTGAACACAGTATTCAAGGTGCGGCCTCACCAGTGCCGAGTACAGGGGCACAATAAATGTTCTCTCCATAGGAGAGAACACAGGGAGAAGATGGAATCTCCCATTCTGCCTTGGTCTCAATATGAAGGAGAATGTACAATCCACATTCCTCTTTCAAAGGTTAATAAAAGCAGAGGGGCTGAGCTTTTTGCACTGTTTTGCATCTCAACTGACCTTCCTTGTATTTGCCAACACAAACATAAACCTACCGTATTATGGCAAAATAAAACCGGACCCCAGATTTTCATCTGCAGCAGACGAGGCACTGTGCTGTTTAATACTGAATACATGAGAGTGAACTGATCAAAGTTATAGTGTTTGTTTAAAGAGACAGTCCTACTCCTCTCTTCCTACTGTCCGTAAGTCCCAGTGAGAATGTTTCAGTTTTCTTTTAAATTGGATGAGGCAGCTTGTTTCACACCAAGGACTCTAAAGTCTAGGGAACACAACAATAATCTGAAGGATTAAGTGACTGAAAAAACCCACAGAATATTTGACAGTAGACTTTAAACAAATCCTGATTTGAAACTAAAACTTTTTGATGTCTCAGTGTACTGCATTACCAGGTGTTCATGGTGCTAGCACGTATTCCCACCAGGATGCCCCTCTAGCACTGCTTGCTTAACAAACACACCTGTTTTTGAGGAGTTAAAAGCAACAACGGAACAGAAGATCGCTCTGAATGTCTCCATTGATCGTGTGTGAGCAAAAGATTAAACCATTGGCTATGGTCATCTGAAACAGCAAATACATCCCAAAGACCATTTTCTGAACAGCAGGAAAGAATAGAGGATCCTTCTTAATGTCAACGTTTCATCAATTTATCACGGACCACAGTGCTGTGTAGACAGGTTTTGGCAAGATGTCTCCCCTGCCAAACACACTAACTAAATGATGACCAGCTTTCAATCCAAAAGGCCCACAGAACACATTAGGCTCGGAAAAGCTACCACATGGAGATACAAAACAGCAGTCTAGGTATTTCCTATATAAGATTCCACTGAATCAGTCTGGGACAAACATCTGACTTGTGAGTATGTCTGGGATGCCACCTGGATGTCTGAGGAGAGCCCACATTATCCCAAATGGCTTTGTGCTTCCTGTACTAAGGCTGGTGTGCCATGACAGTTGAACAAGCACTGTCTAGGAAAAGCTCCATTTCCCCTCTAGTTTTACAGTCTACCACACTACTCTGATCAATAAAAAGCATGTTTTGCAGTACAGCACGCCATTATTAGTCCATGTACGAAATAATGCACTTTGTGGCATTGTACAGACTTTTAAAAGGCTCTATCTGCAACATGGAGCAGTTGCAGGTTTGGATATGTCTGTGAAAGCAAATAAAGTAATAATTATAGTATTAAATATAAGTCATAGCACCTTTGGCATTTTTGTCCAAATAGACTTCAACATATGATGTAGGGACATAACCCTCCTCATCTTCATTCCTTCGGATTCGTGTCCACCCATCACCTTTGTCTTCTTCTATTACATACAGCATTTCTCCTTCTGCTACAGAAATTGTTCCTTCATTCTGACCTGAAAGACATAGTAACACGGAGTTTAGGCTGCCCTGCACAATGGGAACCACAGATGCAGCGGGGAGTGCTCAGAGCACACTTGGATCACGTGCTGACAGCATGAACAAGCACATGTCCTTCTGGAGACAACAGTGTGTACACAAAGAACCAGATGTGATCCTGACATAAGGCTTTTGGGTTTTTTTCATGCAGAGTCCATGCATAGTGAGAGACAAATCACTGTCTCAGTGCCTCTCTATAAAACAGGATCGTGCCAGAGCCTCACTCTCCCATTCTTTGTCTATTTAAGCACTGCAGGGGTTAAATTAAGGTTTCCCACTTGTCCTTGGCAGGTGAACAAAACAGTAAGTGAAATGAGCGTAAGGGCTGAGCAATACCTTCAAATGTATAGAGCGCTTTACATGTTCCTATGGTGGGTAGTGGTTCTTCATCATCAAATTCATCGTCAAAATCTGTTGCCGGTACTTTCATCTCAGTCTCCTGACTTTGCTCTTCTGTGTAACTGCCATCTGGGCTGCTCAAGAGAGGAAAATACACAGCAACTATAGCGACCAGTCTCAGGAGCAAAGAGAACCACAGGCACTTAAGGCAAGGGGAGCAACTGCAGCTGGAGCAGCTCAGCGATTCCAAAGCATGCTCACAACTGGCTGTCACATTAACAGCTGTCACAAATGGGTGAGACCAGTCATTTTTCCCATCAAAAGCTTAAAAAATGCACCTATCTCACTCACCTTCACAGTAGTGAGTATAGGGGCTATTACATATTTCATCACATTCAGAAAAGTAGCTTTTAAAGTTGGGATCTTGCATATGCTAAAATCAGCAAGCAAAACACTTCACAGAGTGCCTGCATTTAGTCTGGTTAGAGAATAAGTTTCTGAATGCTGCAGAGCTACAGTTTTCCCGATTAACAAGCTAAGGCGAGCGGGTCCAGTTATGAGCCTGAGCAGCTCTGTGCAGATACTGTACCTCTCCCGGTCCTGTGCACAGCTGTTCACTGCTGCAGTGTTCTGGGCTTCGTACAGTCCGCTCTGCCGCCGCGCCTGTTCAGTCCGCGTGGGCAACCTGCCCTCCACCTCAGCCAGCCAGCCCTGCAAGGGGAGAGCGCTCTCATGCATCCGTCACGCTTCGACTTGCGAGTGGATGTATGTTGCTTTTACTTTGTTGTGTCATATTTGTATTCAGACTATAGAACCAAAACCAGTTTGCAAACGCATTTAAATTTTCCTTTGGGTTGCAGTTGTCAGGGGGAATAGATTCTCTACTTTTAAGTGTATATTAAATCTATTGGTCTTGCCAAAAAACACACTTACTGAAACTTGATTCTTTTCTGACACTGGGTGCTGAAAGCACCATGACCCAAGAGCAGCAGTTAACAACAGCTGTTGGGAGATGCTGCTGCTCTAGTCACAATCAAGTAAAAAGATGTCTAGCAGCTTATAGTAGTCTCAATTAACATCAGAAACACAGCAAGTTCAGTGACTGCTGAATGCAGGAGGACTAAAGCTGGGGAGAACGAAAGACCCAGTGATTTTCAAATGGGTAAGAAAGCAATGGATAGTAAAGCCAACTGTAAGAAACATCTAAGATTAATGGGCTGTTCATGTACGTAGTGTAACTTACAGAGTGAAGACTTTTCTCAGCCCTATAATCCTTCTCATGTAATTATAATGGCTTAATATATTCTAAATACTTCTTATGCTCTTGAGATTCTGTATCTCTGAGAATCTTCCTGTTAATGGCAGACTATTCCTTAAAACATATTTCATCTGATGGCTTCTGTCTTGCTGTTAGACTATAAATGGTGCTTTGCACTTACGTTCCCCTAAGTTTTCCACAGACATCTGTAACATGGTACTTCAAATTATTTAATTAATAAAAGAGGCATCTGAACTCCTCTGGGCAGTCCAGACAGCACTACATTTTCTCTTATCCTCCACTTAGCACAATTTGTTTTCTGTGGCAAATTAAACAGCAGGACTGTTGGCTGACAGTCACAAGAAATGCTGCATTACGTTACACAAATAGGTTCAAAGATCTCAATTAATGCAAGTGCTTAAGTAGCACTTAGCCATACATAGCAAGAAAATGCACCAATACATTTGGAAAAGCAATGAAGCATCTGCTTAGAACTGAGCATATGCTGAGCTACTTTTTACCAAAATGTTTCTTCCCGTACCTCAAACTTTTGAACTTCTAATCGTAACTTTTCAATGTTCTGTCCAAGCTCTGCTAATCTGTGGTCCACACTCGCTGCATCTCCCATCTGTGGGTTCTTGATATACACATCTTTCATTTTCGTTAAGGCATCTCTGAGAGACAGAAGCAAAATAAAACACATAAGTGTTAGTGCGACTGGGGTCAAATGCCTTTCTCTAAACGAGGGCGAATGAAAGAATAATAAACTGCCTTTTCTTTACTCTGTGGTTCAAGCCCAATTGATTACAAAGGTAACAAAGAACATCCTGTATAGAACATGCCCCGTATAGAAGCAGCCATGAAAAAATAACAGTAAAATCACTTGCCAGAAGAGATTTTACACTGTCAGAGATGGAAAAAAGTGAGTGACACCTTTACCTACAATGTGACATGACATTGTACACAAGCCAAACTCTTCAAGCCCCTACATTAAGAGGAGCTCCTCATTCTACAGGCAGCTGAGGGCTCTTCACATGAGCGAGGCTGCCGGGAGGAGCCTCACCAGCAGATCGTGAGGCTACACAGGAGACGCATTGTGTGTGCGTACCGACACGGTACATTTAGACCAGATGATTCAAGCTCCATGTGCCCCAATTGAAGAATCCTAGAGAAACCACTGAATTTGGGAATCTGGTATTGTCTTGTAGCATGACACACTCTTTTATATAGTACAATTTCCACTTGCTAACCCTGGGGGAAAAAATAATAATAAAAAAAAATCTCGCAGCCATTGCAACAAATGACAGCATCAACCTTCTCGATTAGTATCATCCTTGGTTTTGGGGCACAGACAAACAGTTGCATCATTATTCTCCATCATGGGCTGAAATCCAGTTGAGAAACTGAGACAGAGCTGGATGTGAACATATTAATAATAAAAATGGAGTGCTAACCAGAAATTCTCACCCTGCCTGTTGCAGTTTGTCTTTTGCAACCCAAATAATTTCTAAGATATTTACTTCACACTGCTTAAAACGAAGCTAAATCCAGATGGTTTGCATTTGTCGCAGCGACAGATGGACCTTAGGCTGCATAATGCGACCCTGCATCCTGTTAAGTTATACAGCATTTTTACTAGACTCTTTCTGGGGACTGTGTTTCATATCAACCCAGATGCTAAACGCTTACGGTTTCAGAGATGTTAATTTGAAGGCCTGCTCTGATGAATGTGGTACCGAAAGGCCAACATTAACATGGTACATGCCTTCATGAGCTCCCTTAGGAAAGCCTGGGGAGCTCTCGCCGACAGCAGTATGCTGCCTTTGACCCAAGTCAAGTTGAGGCTGAAGTCATCTGCATGATGAACTTTTCAGTGCTTGGAGAAGGGTGGACATATGAGCCCATTTCCTGTATTACTGGCACAGCTATTCTGCTTTTCTCTAGGCAGTAGTTGGGGGGAGAAAGGTTAACGCGAGTCCCACGACTCAAGTTAACACTCCGTATATTTTAGACTTTCCCACCAAACTCTTGACAATTGCAATCCTGTGCCTGCCTTTGCTTTGTGTGTATAGAAAATGGGAAAAAGTGTGGGTGGCAAGGAAGTGGGACTGCTCTGTGGTTGAAGCCCTAAGGGACAATATTGCAAACACATGAGTCACTATTATCACTATTTTTTTTTAACTCTTAACTGCTGGTGCTAGTTCCTCAATCATACACTATCGTTATTTAAAATAACTTCATTCTGCTCTGATTTCATACCTGATTTTAACATTGGGTTACCTCAGAATCAATACAGAGCAGAAAGGAAAATCTGTACAGAGACAAATGTAAGTTACCACAGAGGAATAATAAAATAAAAAAAAACACCACCACACAAAGCAATGAGAAATCATATAACCACGTGCAGTTTTCCTTTCTTATTCATAATATAAAACACAGAGAAGAAAGTTTGGGTTGCTAGACAAAACAAACAGGTTCTTCAAAGCAATCTAGCAGAAAACTAGGCACATCTGTACAAATGCAAAGCAATATTGAGGGATAGACTAGTACGAGAGAGGCTAAGTCATGAAATCATTCAGGGAAGAAAAGTTCTGTCTCTTGCAGAGGTAACATGCTGAAGCTTTAATGCAACTGTAGAATGTAAACAAACACAAAGCAACAAATACAGGCTGCCAGAATAAATTTAAAAATGTGTAACTAAAATAGCCTTACTCTCAACCAGAATGATAAATGCAGCCCTGTAGAAAAAGCATCCAGAAAAGCACGGGAATCATTATCTTTCTGCTTCCAGGAAGTGTAAGCTACAGATCAGTCTTAAGATGCACCCCAATCAATCAGCACTCCTGACGATGTTATCGTGCTCAGAACAGCCTCGCTTGCTGGGATCTACCCATGCCTGTCATACAGTAATAGGCACTCCACTTAGTGCCGAGGGGTCTATGATTGTACCTCTGACTGAGGCTGTATTTACATCCTGTTCTTTCCTAGAAAAACCCCTCAGGAACAGCTCACATCAATCACAGAAATACAGAATCACTAAGGTTGGAAAGAACCTTCAAGATTGTCAAGTCCAACCATAACATGACATCAAGTCAACCCAACACCACCATGCCCCCTAAACCATGTCCTGAAGCGCTACATCCACATGTTTTTTGAATACTTCCAGAGATGGTGACTCCACCACCTCCCTCGGCAGCCTGTTCCAATGCTTGACCACTCTCTCAGTGAAGAAATTTTTCCTAATACTCAATCTAAAAAAAATATCCAATCTAAAAATCAAGAAACAATCTAACAGTAACCTTTGTCTGGCTCACAATTAACCCGCTGGTCTCCTGTGAAAGCCCAAGAAAACAGCTCCAGAAAGAAGGAAAAACTGTCTCCAGATATGCTTATATCATTTCCATCCTTATACTAGGATCTTCCCTTCTCACGGTTCCAAAGACAGATATGCACCACACTGAGGTGGGAGAACGGAATAAACAGAAAGCCAGCTTTTGCCCCAGCTCTGACCTACAGTCAAAATTAAATAACTGATTTCAGAACCTAAGTTGTGGAGAGCCTTGATCCTCTCAGGTGTTTTTAGCCATACGTAAACTCTGGTTCTTCTTTTCTTGGAACAGCACATTAAAACAAACCTAGAATCTTGATTTAATTTGTTCTTTGTTATATTTTAGTTGTTTCTGTTCTATATGAAACAACGTATTTCATTTTTCATTGGAGAGGCTTGACATACCTTTGATCCATCTCCTTCTGAATATCTTTGTTTAGTTCATCAACTTTTTGCTGAAGTTTCTTTCTTCTTTGCTCAGGTGGGAGATTGCTGAAGTCTTCTGGACCTGCTCCCTGCACGCAGTGGAATGGAGGAGGGGAAAAAAAAAAAAAGAAGAAAAAAAAGAACAACAAAAATCAGAGCCTGAAAAAAATCAGGATTGCATTTTGAAAACAGCTCAGAAAAATCTGTGCAAAATCACAATGGTCTGAAGCATTGTTATTGTTTGTGCTGTTATCAGTATCAGTACAGGGAGTTATCAGTCCCTGACTGGTCAGGAATCTGTATGCCCTAGAAATAATCCCAGGACCACATCCCAGTTCCATACCAAATGGCTAGTTGGTATGGAATGGAAGATCACCAACTAAGGAATGCCAGAATTCAACAGCAAAGCTGAGAAACTACTTTTATCCATAGTTATCATCAGATTTTATTTAACAGAGTTCCATTCTCAAGGAAAGCTCTCCTTCCTGCCTTCTACACTGCTACAGACAGCATCCCCATAAAAACAGATGCCAGCTTTTACTCCTGTGTCACTGTTGCACTTCTCATGTACACTATCAACTGCTGGCTTGCTCCATGAAGTCTGAGTGTTGGTCCAATACAGTTAATTTGTGTCAGGGCTCTCCTGAACACACTGAGGTAATAGAAGTCCTTCCTCTGGGACTCCGCAGTTTGAAAACATGCTGCTTACTTTTCCAGGATCCACGCTCCATGTCAAAGTCTCTTAATTTTTCCTCTCTCACTTGTACCAGCATAAAAATCAGGAGTTTTATCCATCAATTTGGAACCGTAACCAAATAAAAAAAATTGAAGACCACAGCGGGTACCTTTGTGTGATTCTGCTTGAATCTTTTTCTGCCTTCAAACTGCTATGCCTTCTTCTCGATTGCCTCAATTTGATATAGCAGATAGATGACACACAATACACATCCATACTATTTTCTTCAAAGTACAACGTATTTTTGTCATGCAAGAAAGCAAGGGGGGCAGTTTGGGTGGGCTATACTGAACACGCATCAATACTAATTAGTAGCACCATAGAAGAACGAGGTTCTTGTACATAATCTTGAATTTGTACAGGTTTTTCTTGTTGTGGTTTCTGCTCATTCCACATCCCATTTCTAAGGGGGAATTACGGGCCTATGGCAGTAAGAAAGGTAAAAACACAAAGCTGAGTAACCAAGTTCAGTGGTCCATCAGCTTACGGAAAGTTTGTGAGCAGAGTTGTGACATTAGTCTTACTAAAATGCCAAATCTCTCCCAGGAGTGTGATTTAGTGGACACACTGCCACAAAAGCTGCCCATCAGACCCTTTCAGCTCTGCACTGAACGTGCTTCGAGACGGTGCACTTTTTCCTCTGCAGGTGCAGAACAAGCTGTTTACAAGGAAAGCGTGTGGGTGTCAGAGGGATGGAGGACAAATACAAGCAGGTCATCTCCTCCTCCTCCTCGGGCTAGCAATTTCAAAATAGCAGAACAGTCAAACCTCATGAAATTGCTGCTGTATTCATTTTCAGTAAAAGATGGCATACGCGCCTAGTTAAGGATCATCTGTGTAATGATACACTTAACATTCCATTTCATGAGACAATGAGAAAGCAAATTTAAGACAAATTAAAAAAAACAACTAAATAAGTTACACTCATTCTAAAACTTCAGCTACATGAAGTCCTAGAATTGCTTACATTACCTGCTATGCATGGTACAGGAGAGATCTATTTTAATTCATTCTTTCATGATACTACTATTTTGCTTGATAGTAACTCCCACATCGTATTAGACACGAGAATGATCCTGTACGGATAATCTACACACTAAAGCCATACAAATACCTTTTTATGGCAAAGCATCTGGATATAGCTTTGTAAATAACAAGCAGTTACAAGAAAGACTATATAACATATTCTTCTCAACTCTACGTAGAAGAGAAAGAAATGATTGAAAATACTCCTGGTTATACGTTAGGAGAATGCAACAGATGTATTTTGGAAAAGCATCTTCTTTTTGATTCTTCAACTTCATTCAAAAGCTCTAGGCTAGACTAAATGCAGTATCTTTGTTCACAATGCTTCAGACCAAAGCATTAGTGTCGCATAGAAATGCCTGAGACTAGGAGGTGATCTCACTCAGACTTTATTCCATGCTCAATTTCCCATCACAACAGAAGCTACAGTTCCTCTTCCAAAAGGAAGGGTCAAGGAGCAGTTTTTGCACATGCTGGGCACATTTCATGCTCTCAAGCAAAACCACACCTGGGTTCTCTCTCAAGTAGTGAACATCGCCTGCATTTTTGGAAATGCTTCAGCAGTGAGGTGGCAGGGTGGGGAATCTGTGCTATTTTTGATGTGTTAATATAGGGCCAGCAGAGCCAGTGCTCACTAGATTTCCTTGCATAAAGATACTGGCATTTAGGATGCAAATTGTCCCAAGATGAAGGACTGTGGAAAAAGTCAGGACCAGGTTCTGTGCTAAAGCTATATATGGGGAGAGCACAAGGTTTATCAGCCCCAGTTTTGGCTCTTGTACAGCTAGGATCCAGGAGGAAATTACAAACAAGCCGATTTCCTCAGCCTGAGGCGCACACAGGTGTCAGCCCTCTCTGCACATCTTTTTGATTTGTGCAATTCTTGGGGAAAGGCCAGGTCAGCCATTTATTTTGGGAGGATTTGTTCCTACATACAGAGGCTTAGCTCAGCTATATAATGTACTAGCACTGTGACTAGGAAAACAACAAATGGAAATCCCCGGTATAAATGCATTGGACTACCAGCCAAAAGAACAGGGTCTGCAAGTAAGCTAGAGGCTTCCATCACCCCTCAGGCCCACCACAGGTCTTCAGTGAGAAGTAGTATTGCTAATGGAGCCCAAGCAAGTCACTGGGTTGACAGAGCTGCAGGAGGACCCTAAACCTCCAGAGCTACACCAGGTAGCTTTCACAGCCCATGAATTTCCTCCAAATAAGCTGCTATGAACAGAACAGGTCCACAAGGCTGTATCCAAGATCAATGTATGTGTAGGGGGAAAAGAGAGCACCTAAAGGCACTGACTGGTGAGGAATAAGAAAACTTTCAAGCTGAAGCAGTTAAGGCTCTACTGCAGATCCAAAACAGCAGCCAGTCGTTTGCGGCTCTTGCATGCTGGCATGACGTGTGTCAACAAATCAGTCGCATTCTCCTTCCGACTGGGCTCACGAAAGGCAGAGGAACACAGACAAGTGTCAGGAACATATCAAGGTGTGGAGTATCTCAAGCAGTACGGTACCTTGTGTATGAGTTTCAGCACGTAATTTGCTTTCCCAAATATGTTCACCCCTTCCGTTTCCAATGCAGTAATATATTATCTTACCGTAGTCCAAGAAACCTTCTCAGCTGCATCCAAGATAGAATTTAGGATTCATATATATATATATATATATATCTACCTCCATTTGTGTATTCAAATCGGACTGAGTTAACCTTGTTGGTTAAGGTTTACAGAACTTTCATTAATATCATTGTTAGTTATTCTGAAGGACTACATAGGGCTGTAAAATGTAGGTGATACCAATGCAGATTTCCAGTAATACCTGGACATGGAAATCTAACTTTGCAGCTATGTTATACAGAAGACATGCTTTTCTCTCTGGAAAAGGTCCAGCAAGCACAGACACCTTTATTTTTTTTTCTTTAAATGTTTTAACGTATACTTATACAGTAGCAGAATTACTCGATACTGTTTTTCTACATTTTCATAGCCCTAGATTATAAAAGTGAAAACTAAACTATATATTAGAGTTAATTTTTTAGCAGCTTATTAGAAAGACTGAATTCTGATCACCTCTATTAGACTCCAGACCTGTGTATTCAGAGTTATCTGATAAATATCAAAAAAAGCAAACACAAAGAAGAAACAAATTTAACAGTTAATTTCAGTGTCATGTCATATGTGGCACAGTGCACATTAAAACACACACAGAAAAATGTGATTAAAACACAGGACAGGCATGCTGTAAATGTGCTTACCAGCTTGAGAGAAAGCTTCATGTAAAAATTGGAGAGATACAGGGTGGGGGGAGAAAGAGAAAAAAACAACAGTGCATCAGTAGAAGAGGAACTTTTTCAGACTGACTTTACAATAAAATGACACATAATCCCCTTGCTGTTGGAAGGCAAAATGGGTAACACTAACAGATCTGTGCAAAAGTTCACAAGATGGGCCAGCGTTATCAGTCTGCTGCTGTTTGCTCACCAGAAACAGAAATGGGAGAGCCTTGTACCTCTACACGCGTTTTATTTAGCACCGCAGGTGAAAGTCTCGCCTGGATTGCTTATTTACAGCGACTACAGAGATTTTTCACATTACAGTAACGCCTCGAAAGTGGAAGAAACCTCAGAACTTGCAAAATGCGTGCAAGGCACTTCAGATCAAAAATGTGCCAAAATGCAGGGACGAGTCTCAGCCCCTTTATGCAAGGGCTGAGGAGGGCAGGGAATAACACCTACCCAAAAGGCAGTGGAGAGGTAAGCTGCAAAAAGCATGGCGGGATCTCCAGTGACCTGCAGCGACTTCCTAGCTCTCAGGCCTATGTCCAAAGGACAACATCCCTGAAACGTCCCTTGATTGCGCGCAGCGCTGTCTGGGCAGTCACGTAGTGTCATTTCATGTTCTTGAACAATTCAAAAACAAATACTCGGTCTCAAACACACTTTGGCCATACAGTCAGACGAGGTCAGGACCAAGGAGGAGGAAAAAGAAAACCCTCTTCTCTTTACACCAAATTGATCCTACGACAGCGTGGTAAGACGTTATTCAAGCTCCTTAAACAATATACACGATCTGACTCTTCAAAGGTTACCACATTTCCCGGTGCAGAGCCAAAACATTATCTTTTAGTCACTCTGAGAAAGTAAGAGACTGAAGTGAAGCGTGTGCTTAAAGGACCTACGCAGCAGCGTGGTTTGCCTCGCACATACAGCTCTCAACAGCGCTGGAGAGCCTCGGAAGCTGCTGGGTGAACAAATGTGCCCGGGCAGCTGACCACCAAAATTACCAAAGCACCTTCCAGTATTGCAAGACGTTACGACAGCTGCAATTCAGAAGGTTTGCCAAGAGACAGGGAGGCTAGCAGTGCTACAGGGCTTTTCTGTTCTGTGCCAAGGAGCACCAGTTCGCTGCTGTTCAAGATATAAAGCCAGATTTTAAAGGGAGAATCAAAGCTATGCTCAGCCTCCTTCAGCAATCTGCACCGCGCCTGTCCTACCAGCTCTTCGGGGACAGTCGTGAAATCAAGATATAAAGCCAGATTTTAAAGGGAGAACCAAAGCTATGCTCAGCCTCCTTCAGCAACCTGCACCGCGCCTGTCCTACCAGCTCTTTGGGGACAGTCGTGAAGTGCTCACACTACGCAAACTCGGAAGTGCATAAATGCCTGTGCTCGGTGTTAGAGACAGTTGAAATGTAGAAGCTGGAAAACGCCTCTCGCTCCAGGCAACGACCTGTATTGTGAGACTTCTGAACCTCTTTCCATTCAAGAGTTTGAGAGCATCATATTCAGGAGCTGTTGGTAGTAAAATAACGGCAAACAGACGCTCCATTTTTAGCTACAGCACAGTTCTTTAGGATTGGATTTAAAATAAATAAAGGTGGCTCCACACCTATGATGTTTTTGACAGCGTGATTTAAGAAATACGCATTTTTTAAAAATAACAATTACAATTAGTTATTTGTATGGCAATACACACCAGCCATTCAAGGAAAACATATGGCCTTGCAATAAACAGTGAAATACTCCATTTGAACTGATGCATTCGGTGACAAAGCAGCAGTTAAACTTCCCTCTGAAGCTCAGTCCATTAGGAAGTAAACACAGGATAATAATCACAGTGCAATGAAGAAATTCACTCAGCTACGAGACCATTAAAAAGCAAACAAAACCAATCCATTTAAGAGAATAATCATACAGGAAAGAGAAAGAATAAGCTAAAATATGCTGTGAATAAATTCAGCGTAGGCAGCTTTTGTTTGCATAATTGCTTTAGCACTCCTGTGAACTTTAGCATAGACATGATCAGCACAAATTGAGATCCTTGTACATATATACAGACAAGACTCATGGTGCAGAATAAATATTTACCTACGAAGCACTCTATAAAAGGCACAAATGTATGCTACATGCGCTAGTTTCTAAACACTACTCACTCTAAAGGCACTATACTACTGCGAAGAATCATCTGCATCAAGGCTATTCTTTTGCTGTAAATTCAGCAAATTTGAAAAGGATTATAAACGCTATGCCAAATTTTTATGCTGTTAAGTATGACAAAAATAGAGAACTTATTAATAGCATTTCCAAATAGTACATCAGGGATTGTTATAACCAATACAAATAACAAAGCGCATCATAGACTGGAAACAATGAAATGCTGAAATAAGTCATATTCACAGTTTTCCATTTCTGAAATGTACTCATAATTTTACATGAGAGCAATTCAGTTTCTATAAACAAATATAAGCAGACTGAAAATAAATCTGCATTAAACACTAAACAACTACTTTTGCCCATTCTGTTGGGTTTTCACAGCTAGAAACTTGCTCAAAGCTCCTGGGAGAACAGGGGCATTCTTTCCTCAAATGATCAAATAATTTACATTTCTTCAACATGAGCAAATCTGTTTCAAGCTGTCATTTTAAAACAAGTCTAGCTTAGTCTAGCAGGGAAAAAATGAGAGCCTAAGAGCCACAAGCTTCAATAACACATGAGAGTGCATGAAAGCCAGCTAGTCCATGTGTTATTGGACAGTCACGGACACTAACCTCACTTACAGAAAACAGGGTTGAAATAAATCACTGGACTTCCATACAACCAAGGTAATTTTCTTTCTTAGTGGTCCTATAACAATCTCCTCACATTCTGCTTTATCCAGATACCAGATTTAGAGGTCACATATCCTGATTCCATGAACTATCATCATTACAGAGAGTTCAGGTAAGCTTCAGAAAGCTCCACGGAGTGCTCCACGACCAAGGCACTGAACGTGTCACTGCACTGCTGTAAATCAGGGGTTGCTCATGATGCTCAAGGCTGCATTCATAAAATAATTTAGAATAAATGCATGGAACCTGTTTTAGTACTTTCTCTGAATCTCACAGGTCCAACTACTTTAATTGTGCCAATTTCAGCATTTCCAGGACTAGCAGACATCTTTCCTGCACATAACACAGTAAGCTGCAACTCATCTCCCACCAAATTTTCCTTTTATCTTTTACAAAGCACATTTCCACAGCACACTCTAATGACCTTGTAAGTGGGGTTAGCGACTGTGTAGCAACGGTATGGGCTGATCACACCATACACGGACTTACAACATATTCCCTAGCCTCAACGGCACACGTGGGTGTCCCTAAAGTCCTCTTCATGAGTTCTTTGTGAATATACAAAGACTGTGTCTGCTGGTGAGTCAGCAAGAGAAAACACATCCGTTACACTGGAGACGAGCACGGCACCTCTGTGTTTACTGCTTCTACAGCAAAAGACAGCTTGGCATTTAACTAGCCTTTAAGTGCAGCGTAGAAGCTTCCTAGAAACTAGGCGAATATTAAGAGTTTAGCATTCTCACAAAAATTAGGAAGTACCATATTTTTAAATGCTAGCTTAAATAGAAAAAGTCAGAAAACATCTCTCTGCACCAGAATAAACCATGGCTTTAATGACCCCACCCACCAAAAAGCCCTGGTCCTGGCACAGATTCATACACTTAACATTAAAACAAGTACTCCCAGGGGCAGGGAAGAAAGCAGGTACGAGAGGGTGGTTTGTTTTGTTTGCTGATTCTGCATATGCACAGAACAAGAAAATACTGATCACCAACAGCCAAGTGTGGAGGGAGAAGACTGCACAGCATGTCACAGAGGCAAGACGGGATGGTGAGGGAAAACGTTAACTGGGGCAATGGAAATAAAATCACATTGTAATGAAGTCAACAACTTCCACTAAAAAGGAAACCACAAAAGTCCCTCCGTGTGCCTTACGGAACCGCCCGGAGGCTGGAGCTTGGGTAATGACAGCAATATCTGCGTCCCAGCTCCCCGACCCACCCTCTCTGCTTCATCACAACCCAGGCTCCGCGCTAACAGAGGAAAGGCGAGTGCACACCGCAGTCAAAGGTGTAAGTTCTACCCCTGGATTTTGTTAGTTCAGAAGTATTGCTCTTTAAATAAAGGTGCTGATGTTACTGCTGCTATAGCAATAAAACAAGAGAACACAAAATTAATATCAACTAGCAGAATACCAAGTCTTCTTTGCCCTCAGAATGGAATTAGAAAAAGCAGAGCAAGCATAAATGAAATGACGACTTATGCAAGCGGTTCCTCATTTTTTGTACTCTTCTGGCTTTAACTTCCCTAAAGAGACAGGGTTGATTTTAAGTGTTATACTACCTTTATACTGCCTTTTTAAAGGGTTATTAGAAACAGCACTCACAAAAACTGTGTAAAAGACTCCCCCCCCCCGCTTCTAGTTCTGATTCATGACAAGTGCTGTAACGGTTTTACAGTATTTTCTACAACAGACATTTCTGCTCTTGGCGTTAGAAGAAAGAAGCTTTGAGGAAAATACAAAAAGGTGATTAGAAAACCATAGACACTGACAAGAGTCAGCACCTGCATTTTTAAAATTTTTAAATTTTTTTAAACAGGCTAGGATTTCATATTGGCAGTGACCACTGATACTGGTATTGGTGCCTCTACATTAACCTGGCATCTGTTGTAAATTGTTCAGGCATCTGCTTCCTTCCATGAAAACAAGATCCATTGGATTTTTGGTTTGGAAGCAAAATTAAAACCAGACTGGGCACAAGGACATATCATTACTAATTATATCATTCATTCTAATGGTCACCAGTGATTTTTCCACTTCAGTTTCATACATTTATCTTTCCAAATGCAACATAAAAATGCTAAACCAAAACTTTAGAAGGAAATTACTAAAACATATTGCCTCTCCAGACACATTCTGATATCAAAGATTTCATGGAGGAATTGTATGCGAATCCACTCACTTATGTTTCACGGATGAATTACAATGTGCATTCTACTGGTGGTATTTATCCTGTTAAGGTCTTAGTATCTACTGGACTTATTCACACTAAGTAGTTCCTTTTCATGCACTTCTTCCTTAAGCCAGTGCAAAAAAGGAATATGATCCAGTTTCCTCTGACATAAACAGATCGTTGCCCCAGCTTTTGTAGGAGTTAACAGCTCAGTTTATCAGCAAAGCCAGGAAAGACCTGTTTCACAATTTGGTTGAATACTCTAAAATAATACTTAAAATTGCCTTGTGGCCACCTTTACTGCAAGGTGTCTGGCTGGAGTGGAATTTTGTTTCTGAACAAAACCAGCAGTGCGGAGACAATATTCAGAGCAAATGAAATTATTCAGTGTCCAAAGCCAAACACCCGTTACATTGTACTGTCCTGCCGGCTCCCTGCACGACCTTGCCAAAAGTTTCTTCGCTGATGTATTTCTGTACAGATCAAACGTTCTTCTGTGCACGGGGCAGTTTCCCTCTACGTCCTCCTAATTTCTTTGGTAACATCACAATCGAGCATTCGTAACATTACTGCTCATGCGCCTGAGCAAACTTCAGATGCTTTTGGATTTGGCAGGGGGATGGAGAGGAATTGAGAAAAGGAAATCTTACAAAGCTTAATATGGTAAAAGCAGAATTAACCGTATTATCTGGCTGTACTGAATATAAAGTGGGTCTTAGCAACCACATCAGCCAAAACAAATGCCAACCACTCATTTTTTTTATCTGATAAATTAACAGGATTTGGGGGTGGTTCTTGATTTATTTTTTGCCTGGTTAGATTTACTTTGTTTTTGAAGGCCATACGGCATTTTCATGATCTTTTAGTCTGACCATTTGTATAACAAATCACCAAGGACCTATGAAATGTGAACTTGACAAGTTTTCAAATCAGACAGAGCCAGCTGCCAGAGCTTTGCAGCCTCTCCTACTCCATATTTCTAGATGAAGTAAGTGGCCTGAATTCGCCGCTCCGGAAAAAGAGATGGTGACCTGAACACTGGCCTCCAAACTCTGCAGGATGAGTCAGGCAGGGTAAGTATTTACATACAAACATCCTGGTAGCTAACAGGGGAAGGAAATGAAATAGAAAGGGAACATAGGGAAAGGTTTAAATGAAGATTTAGCAACAGCCTTTCCTTGCACATTTTTAATGAACGTGTCAGCAGAAATTTGAGGGATTCCAGAGAAGACTATAGGAAATTGTTCTCATTATTTCACCTTTCACACAAACCAATTAAAGCCAGTTCGGTACACAGGATTCGTAAGACTCGCTTGGACTTCTCAGATAGTTAATACATAAAATAATGGCATTTCTTCAGGAACTATTAAAAGCAATTAGTCATAATTGCTTATACAGCCAAATACTCGCTAACTAAGAATTTGTACGTTTGAAATACAAATTTGTTGAAGTGCCCATGGAACTACAAACTAGTACTTTTAAATCAAGTTGGAAATATTCAGCACTATTTTCAATATTCTGTTCCGTGAATAGCACTATTGGAGCACCAGATCCCAACACAAACCCTCACCTTCAGCAGCCTCTTACTCTCCAAAGCGTCTCACTGCTGCCTCGTATGAAGCCGAGTGCCAGATGCCCACGTGCCATGGTGGGTGCCACCACAACAGCTGCTGCCTAGCGCATCCCCCAGGTTTGCTGCTGCAGAAGCAGAATTGAAAGACTGTGTCCCCGCATAAAAGCCACTGAGAAAAGATGCTCTGGGCCAAACTGCAACTGAGGGAAGGAGGGACATTTACAGAATCTGTGTTTGGACAACTTGGAAACTTCCCGCTTCCCCAACGAAAAGCACCAGAAATATGATTTCGTTGGGTTCTGAATGTCCCATTAAATGGCAATTCCCTATCAAAGAACTGAAACAACTCAGTATAAAACATCTTGTTTTCAAATATACTGTCTGCAACCAGATGAGACAAAATATTGTTTGCAGCACTGTTCTCCATTCTCTGTAACTAACCACTGAAGTTCCCCACTGAAACCATCTCTACTTTTGTAAGACCTCCAGCCTTCAGCCCTAAATGTCAGTGCAGTCCCTGGAGCAGAATTTGGGCTTTTTTTGAAGTAGGCATCTCCTTGCTGTTACAGTCTACTCTAAATAAGGTTTCAAAATACTGAACACTTGTGTCTCCTTCCTGTAATTCTTACAGGAGGAAATAATTCAAGGACCTTAACCTAGGAGCCAAAGTCATGCTATGCCAGCAACTTCTCAGCCACGTGTGAGCTTCTGGGAAGATAAAGTTGTCTTTTTGTTTGAAAAATGGAAAATTTTATCTCAGGGACCAGTTGTTTTACTTACTGCTTATGAAGACCACCAATGAGAGCATTTAATTCAACACAAATGCTTCAGCATCAGTTTACCAAGATAGCCACAGCTGATGTCAAGGACAGGAACAGAGCAGCTGACCTGGGAAAACTCAGGCCACGCTTCCTACTCTATCAGCAGCAAAGGAGACAGGGACACTGCACTTAGATCAGTGGTGATGTGTCACAGAATGTTGATCCAGTTTGATCTAGATCCAAGTGAATCCTCAAGGTCAGTCACGGAGGCTTCCAGCTTCTCTGCACTGTACAGCACATAACCCAGCATCCAACACACTGTGCTCCAGCTACTGGCAGGGGGAAAACCCAAGCTCTAGTACCTTAAAATTTCTCATCTATGTTTTAGAGGTCACATGCTAGACTGATAAAGCTTTTGCAGACAGAATACCACTTTAAACTGTGTGCGTCATTGCACTAGGAAGTGAAAGTTCAGAAACCCAACAAAAATCTGTGGACTTAATGGGAAATGCCCCGAAAAAGACTTGGTGGCCTACAATTCTGCATGCTAACGTATGTAGGGAAGGCTGCAATGGAACTTCAATCTTTTTTCCTAGGTTTGTAACTGTTCATCACACAATGTTTATAAAAATCTTAATTAATGTCTTTCCTCCACAGTTTGCAAGAATGACAGCTATCAGTGGCCGTTACGAATAGTTTTTCAACTTGGTATTGTTGCAAAGATATTTCATTGACATTTAAAGTGTCAAGAAAAAAAAACGGTGGAAAACACATTTAAAACTACTTAGAAAAAAAGTTAAAGAGCATGGCAGGATTTGAAATTCTTCTATGGACACTCTGAAAGCTGTTTAAGCCACATCATCTGCTTAAGGAGGCCCAAAAGCAACAAACTTGTTGGGAAGCAGGATTTCTTAGGCTCTCTACAGGAATCAAATCAAACTTGTGTATTGTATTGAAACAATATGCTTGTTATTTGCTACCGCATGCAGTTAAGGTCCTTGAGAAGTGTCAACCTCTAGTATTTAGAGCCAGCTGTAATCAATATATCTAGGTAGCTGCAGGTAACACTAAATTCAGTGTCCCCCTGCAGCCTCCACCCACATGGCAGCCCTGGTTTAAAACAGACATGTACCATCTAAACAACTTTATTACCACCTAGAATCAGTTCATCTTTCACATCTCGGCTTTGTTTTAATCTTAAGACTCAGACTTACTTAGCAAGCTAACACTGCAGCACTGGAAGCACAATCTGAGGCCGAGTCGCTGGAGCAGAAGTCACACACAGCGGCGTATTTGACCATGAAATAGAGGGAAGTCATCTTCCCACTACTACAGCAAGAGGTGTCAGATCTTTTCAGGGAAAAGTCTGAACTTGCACCAACTGAAGTCAGAAGAATTATTCTCTGGAATGCCTCCTAATTTACTCTGCTCTTTCTGACATAGATATTGAGCTGAATCCACCTTGCAGGGAGGAAAACTTTTCACATTAAGGTAGGCAACATGCAGCATCGGGATCAGAGTCAACCTCTGAACGGTGCTCCTCCAAACCTACTCTGCCACAGACAGACACAGGGCTACTAAATTAATGACTTTGACTTCTACATGAGTATTACTTAATGTTCAGCTCTTCCTTCCCATACTTTGGACAATCACTCCTCCCCCTAAAACCCAAATGGGTTATTTCCATCAGCAATTGTACTTTTTGTGGTTTCATTGTGGGGTTTTTGACTACAAATGGCTTTATAGGTTGGGATTCCTTGGATTTGTCTGCATGTTATGATAAAACACAATGGATTCATTCACAAAACAAAACAAGTTTTTACATAACAGAACGTGCAATAAAAGCGCAAGAAAGAAAGAAAAGAGAAAGAAAGAGAGAGAGGTATCCAGAGGAGAACTTACCCCGCGCTTTAGGCTCCTGAAGCAGTGGATTTTGGGTTTGGAGGTCATGAACTCGTTGAAGCGATGGGAGAGGGGTTCCTTTTGCTGCTTGGGAGACTGGGGGCCGTTGGGAACAGCAGAGGGTGAGGCAGAGGCAGGGGGAGGAGGAGGGGGCTGATGGGGGGATGTTAAAAGGGACATAAGCTACGTATAAGAGATGGAGAAGTGACAGAATAAAAACCAAAATAAAAAGATAAAACACAAAACGAAAATAAGCATCAAAACCAATATTTGAAATCCAGAGAAAAAACAATTAAATAATTAAATATTAAAGGCCATGGTTCAAAAGAGGGGGAAAGCAGTATTTAAGAGTTGTGTTAAATGAAGAATGTGATAAATGGAAGTTTTAATAAGTGATGCAACAGAAGAATAAGACAAAGTATTTTGACAGGAGGCTCATGCAGACTCTTCCATGCAGCGCTATCCCCATAAATTGCCCTGTTCTCGCTCTGTGGACAGCTCAGAATAATGCATATGGATAGAGCTTTCAAATACCTGAATTTAAATGGATCAGATAAGGAAGGTACCTTAGTGCCCAGTAGCGTTTCTATTATCTGGAAAACAACAAACCACATTCCTTCCTGCTTTCAAATCATACCTCAGTAATGTGCATCACACTTCACTTTCACAAATTACTCTATGAATTTGCTCAGGAGTTAACCATGGTTTTTTTTTCTGGCTACACTGATGTAAGCACCAGACAGCCGTGTTCTCTCATATACCAGCACAACAGGAATGATCCATTTGGAACAGGTAGATTTTTTTTTTTTTTTTAACTCTGTAATTAGTAGAAGTGGTTTGGTATGGGTCAGAGCAAGCATGAGATCAAAACAATGAAGCTGCTCTGGGCTTCCATCAGTGTTACTGAAAACCGATTTAGTCCAGTCACCCTGACACATTCTGGTAACCCCCAATAAATGCTGCCATGCATTATGGTGTAAAATATGACAGTGAAATGAAAAAGGTTTAATGGATACATAAGTTAATGTGGTCTTTTAAAAAAAGTCAACTGCTCAGTTAGTTATGCTCTGTTAGTTGTTCTTAAGAAGAATGAATCACAGCAATTCCTCATTCCCAGCCACCCAACTGCTGAA